TGACTGGTTTAGCTAACCGCTGTAACCAACTGAGCCACATAAAACTGTAGGCATCCACAAACCAGCCCTGCCAAGAGAGCTGAATTAAATAAGGGATAAAAGGATGTTGTACATTTACTGCAACAAGCTAACTAATTACTGATTACTTCCCCAAAAAAGTAATCCCGTTACTTTACTGATTACTTATTTTCAAAAGTAATTAATTACTTAGTTACTTAGTTACTTTTTAAAAACACGATTTACAACCTGAGTAGGTGATAAAGCGATAGATCTTTCAGCCCAATTCTACTTTTTTTACATAATCCATCATACAAAATGTAATCAAATGGAAACGTCTCTTTTTAAAACTTGTTTTATTAGTTTTAATCTTTTAACTTTATGCATCAAGCAAAAATTTTATTATATGCAACATTCTCTGACTGGAATAAATTAGTTTAACATTTAAACCTATTTTCTGCACATTCCAGCACATAAAATAAAATATTTTTTTGTGTTTACACTCAGTCTTTCAAATAGATGCAAGTAAAACACAGCAGAAAATAAATAAAGTCAAAGACTCAGCGGTCCTGTTGCTCTATTTTCACCTGTAAAGCAGGACTGCGGTAGGCGGAGGTTTACCCTGGTGCAGGTGTGCCGCAGCGGTCAGTGGAAGAATCCTCGAGTTTCTCTGAGTTTCCCATTACGTCGTTGCGCACTCTGTGCTTGCTTGGAAGTTTAGGGGTTGTTTTCGCTGTAAAAAGAAGTTTTCTTCCCACGCACAACGGACGCTAATGTTTTTGTCACTTTTTATGGAATCAAACTCAAAGTAAGGTCAGTACTTCCACGCTTTAAACGCTGCACGCTCATACTCTCTCCCACAATCGATATGTGATCCACTGTTGATCTGCACACAGCTGTTGTCACTAACAGCGCACTCGCTTACGTCACTGTCATGAGACATTCTCGCAAAAAAAATCACGGTTTTAGTAACGCAGTAACGCAGCGTTCCTACGGGAAAGTAACGGTAATCTAATTACTGTTTTTGCAATAGTAATCCCTTACTTTACTCGTTACTTGAAAAAAGTAATCGCGTTACAAGTAACGTGTTACTGCCCATCTCTGATGGTAAACACCCTACAGTAATATAGAAAAAAACTCATCAAACGACCTTCTATGAGTAAGCACGTGGCAACAGCGGGAAGGAAAATCTTCCTTTTAACAGGAAGAAACCTCCAGCAGAACCAGGCTCAGGGAGGAGCAGCCACCACCAGTTCGGGATGAGGGTAGTAAGACAGGACAAAACACGAATGATTACTATTGATTATATGGAGAATGGTGTATAAATACATGGAGACTGAAAATAAGTGAATGAATTAAAAAACAACACCAACAGTCATATCAGGGGATCATGGGAAGCCCCCAGCAGCCTAGGCCTATTGCAAGGAAGGATTCAGGGTCATGTGATCCAGTCCTAACTATAAGCTTTTTCAAAATCTTTTAAGCATAACCTTAAAAATAGTTAGGTCGGTCTATCTGCCTCTCCAAACTGGGAGCTGGTTCCCCCTGAAGAGGAGCCTGAAAGCCTCCCATTCTGCTTTTAAATATCCTAGGAAGCATGCTATGAGGGCTTTGGTATAAGACGGGGCCTGATTATTCAAGACCTTGTATGTGAGGAGAAAGAATTTTAATTAGACTCTGGATTCAACAGACAGCCAATGAAGAGAAACCAATATAGGAGAGATATGCTCTCTCTTTATTATCCCTGTCAGTGCTCTCGGTGCAGCATTTTGGATCAACTGAAGGCTTTTCAAGGCGTTAATGATGAATACCGAATAACAGCAGTCCAACCTAGAAATAGTAAATTCATCCTTAATTGTCAGGATCACTCTGAGACAGGATGTTTCTACATATTTGTTTAATGTGAAAGAGTGAAATTCTTCATGTAAGTAGAAACAATCGAAAACATTTGTTTATGTTAGCTAACAAGCTAAGTGTCAAAAACCGATAAGCCGACAGTGCATGGGAGATGCATGTTTCTGAATAGTTTATCCCCAGCATGGTCAATCGCTCCACGGCCTCAAAACATCCCACTTTCCCGCATGTTGTAGCTAAAAATCTGATCAATATCAAAGCATCATTCAGTTCTTTGACACACTCCGACAGGTTTCAGTTTCCTCTTGTGGTATGTTTTTATCTGATGCTAACATTTGTTTGTTTTGTCACACGAAACAAGCTGCAAGCACACCACCTATACACAAGCAGCACACACAGAGCCATTAACATCCATTAGGAGTTGTGTTTTAGGCCAGCTAATGTAAGTCCAATATTTACTTATAGGTGTTAACCGAATCTCGAGGGAAAGTGTGGCTTTTTAGTAACTAATGGCTCTGCTGCTTTCAAAAGCTAGTTCTTAACTCTTGGTGTGCTGTTTGCTGCAGCACAGCAGAGTTTTTCTGAAGAAGAAAATGACCAAAACTGCAGAGCTGGGTAATAATCCTCTAAGTGAGTCACTATGAGCAACACCATTTTCACTACACCCAATCATCTGATCTGATAAGCAAAGGAACGGCTGTATGTTTGTTTGCCCATCACTTTACCTAACAAGTATTTCGTCACACTTGGAGTGTGTGTATTGCTGAGGACCCAAAGAAAGCACTGTTATGTTGTCTGGATGAACAGTGGCCATTTCAGGTATAGATGTAACCACCTGTCATCATCCACTGGTTGGTGAAATCCTGTGGGGAAGCTATCGCTATCGTCATCCTGGTGTTTTGAAACCAGATGTGACAAGCCAGAGATGGAAATCTCTGAGAAGGGACACATATAGCAACTTGTCAACTGGATTTTAGGTCCTCCCTAAAGAATCCCCTACTTTAATTTTTGACTGTACTGGGGAAAAAATAAACCTTTGTATTTGGTCAAACCTGAAGCTAACAATATAGATCATGAACTCAAGTAAGTGTCCATTGAGTCCATCTTCTCATAGACATCCATAAAACCAGACTTCTGTTTTTAAATAAGATGAATCATCCACTGCTAGCCATCAGTAAGAATGCATCTCCGTATTGGCTTCACTTTTCAGACACTTGAAGGCTACAGTCATACTCTGAAAGCCATCTCTGACTAGAGGGGGAAACAGTAGGTCCCACAATATGCAACTGCGAGCTCAAACTGAAGAAAATGCCTTCAGAATGTTAAAAATATGAGATTTCGTTGCACCAGACGACCATTTTTGATTTTTTTTTTGTTATAAAGCTACAGTTAGCTACATGTTAGCAAATAAATGTGACTCATAGGCCTAAAAAGATGCACATTTCCTTGCTGAAGTTCAAATCGAGCATCCAAATAGGGAAGAAAGATGATTTAGGTGACTTGTTGTTGGTGGCAGACGGGCTGGTCTGAGAATTTCAGAAACTGCTGATCGTCAGGGATTTTTCCCACACAACCTTCTTTAGAGTACAGAGAAAAGTCCGAAAAAGAGAAAACATCCAGTGAAAAAAAAAAAGTTGATCCCAGTGAACAGAGGAGACTGGCAAGACTGCTTGTAGCGGAGAGAAAGACAACAGTAACTCAAGTAACCACATGTTAGAACCAAGGTATGCAGAGGAGCATTTCTGAAAGCACAAAAACATCGAACCCTGAAGCAGATTAGCTACAGCTGCAGAAGACCGCACTGTCTGCCTCTCCTATCAGTTAAGACGAGGAAAAAGAGGCTACAATTCACACAAGCTCACCAAAATTAACGATGCCTGGTCTGAAGAGTCCCAGAGTCAGAATTTGGTGTAAACAGCATGAAAGCACGGACCCATCCTGCTACGTATCAGCGTTTCAGGTTGTTGGTGGTGTAACGGTGTGGGGGATATTTTCTCTGCACTTTGGGCTCCAAAGTATCAGCTGAGATTTATTTAAATGCCACAGCCTACCTGACTGTTGCCATGTCCATGCCTTTATGAACAAAGTGTACCTATAGCTGCTTGGTGGCTGCTTCCAGCAGGATAACACACCATGTCAAATAATCTTAAACTGGTTTCATGATCAGAACAATGAGTTCCCTGTACTCCAATGGAATAGAGCATCTTTGGGATGTGTTGAAATGAAAGACTGGTGTGATGGATGTTCGGCAAACATATCTGTACCAACTGTGTGATGCTATTGTGTCAATATGGGCAAAAAACTCTGAGAAAGGTTTCTAGCAGCTTGCTGAATCTGTGGCATGAAGAATTAAGGCAGCACTGAAGGCAAAAAGGGGGTTTGAATCGATAAAAGCAAGGTGTACCTATCAAAGTGAGTGCATGAGTCATCAACGCACATGTAAGCATCCTGCCATTACCTAATGTCCTACTGCCTCAGTATAAATGCTCAGCCTTAATTGTGCTTTGTCTTTGTGCTCTATGTGTGATCTCACAGATGTCACTCTGCTCTATGATCTCATAATAATGCCACAAGTTCAGGTAAGAGTTGCTTAACCTTTAAAATCAAATATAAAACAAGCTAAGGTTGACTAGACGGTCATTAAGGGTTTTTTGCCTTTTTGTTTCTTTTTTAATACAAAAAAGCTCTTAGTAAAGTCCAACCAACAAATCCTGTCCAATAAGTGTATAAACATCGACTGCCTTCAGTTGCTACTGTTACTCAGAGGTAAGGCTGCTCACTTGTTTTCAAGCGGTCTGCGGTCCACTTTACTCTCACAACTCCAGCGCAGCTTATCAATATCACATCAAGCACACCGTATCTGTAAAGAATCCATTGGTTACAACAGCAATGATATTGAAATATTTATTACAGCTTATGAAACCACTGCTTCTATTATAAAGCAGACCAGAGCATACAGAGCACATCCACTGTTGCCGGGGCCAAAACTGACTTGGCACTAAAATGGACAGAGGGGCTAATGACGAATACGAACTCAGAAGTAAGAAAAGACTCGATCGTTCCGTTATTTGGAGGTCTTCGGCTGTTATCCATACAAAAGTGTCCCAGGACTCAGACAAAACACCAGCACTTTTGTCATAGCTACATGATAAATCTTAATCAGTAATTTATTTGTTGGCAAACAAGTTTCACTGTTACAACAAATATTAGTTATGAGGTCATTCAACTCGGAAACCAATACAAAAAAAAAGAATAAATAAGAAGCCATAATTATAGCCAATAAGAAAAACTTCTTTTTGCTGCTAAACTTGCTCCCATCCTTTATTACTGTTTATTTAACAAATAAATAAATAGATTTTCTCCTTGAGGAAGAAAAAGAAAAACACTTCCAGTTTTTCTCACTTCAAAAGCTCTTTCTTTAATAAGTAAAACAGCCATCTTTCTTTGTTGTTTTTGCACAAGTGTCTAGTGCTCATCAAGGTTCAATTTGTTCTCTTTCTGAGAAGCACAAGTGTTTTCTGAATGCCAATATAGATGCAGGATGCACTATAAACTTTCTGAGGGACACCTCGTGATTAAATTGGACTGATTCTGTCTCCTTGACAATCTGTGAATCAGAGCTCTGCTATCTACACAGTAAAAAAAAAAAGAAAACGAAAGAGAAAACGAACCAGGCGGAAATAATAATAATAAAAAAAAAACAGACCTGAAAAAGAAAGGTGAATACGGTTCACGAAAATGCGGCACGATAAGTGTGTTCTTGTGGTATTTTTTGTGTAATTTTGCTCCTATTTCGATGGTCATTTCTCAGAAAGTGATAAAAGAGAAAGAAAAAAAACAGACTGGCACCAAAAGCCCAGAAGGGCCAGCACAAGAGAACAAAATTGCTCCTAATCACTACATTTACAGAGACAAAAGGGTTCGCTTGGAACGGGAAAAAAAGCATACTATTATGTGCAATGCTAGTTATCTGTACAGTTACATAGAAATATCTCGCAATTCTCATTAGTTTTTTTCTCCCTCTTTTAACAACTGGAATTACAGTAAAATCAAAGAAAGAAACAAAAACAAACAACAAAAAAAAAAAGAACAGTTATGCTTAAAAGCATACAATCAATAATTCCTTTATGGTAACTGTCCAAAATGTGTGTGTGCGTATATGTGTGGTTTTTGTCTTTTTTTTTCATTGAAGGGACACTTCAGCAAACAAAATGTGCTGCAACTCACCAAAGAGGAAAAAAATCTCTCAAAAAGTCAATATAGATACAGAAGTATAATAAAATAGTCTTTTTTTTTGTTTTTTGTTTCGTTTTAATTCTGGTGAAGTCTTCAGTTTCAAACTTTAGGGGTATGCAGTTCCTGTAGACTGTCAACACTATATCTCTGAGACCTAAAAATCCTGTGTGAGTAATTGTCTCTTTTCACAACGAGACAAAACACGGCAAACCACACAGGGTTTGGGAGGGGACGGGGTGGATGTGGTGTTGTGGGGTGTTCGGTGTGTGGGTTGGGGGCGACGAGTGGAGGAGAGGGGGCACAACATCAACCTTCTGCAGTGTCTAACTAAATAGAGTCACATATTAACTGCCGACGACGCCCCCCACCACCGCATTCGTAGCAATTATTATCCTGCTTATGGTCGGTAACAGCGAGGGTACAGTTCCTTCCTCCGCCTCAGTCTTCGGGACACAGAATAAAGAGAATAAAGGCTACCACTTCCAACGACTGATGGACCAAGGGCACACGGGGGAAGAGTAGAGGACTGCGAGAATACAATGGGCACGGGTGGGAGGGGGTTCGGGCCTATAGGCTGGTGACTAGGTGCGAGGGCTCCTGCTGGGCCTCTTCTGGAGATAGATCCTCTCTGTTGGGGGGAACAATGAAGCCATCACTACTGCCCCGCCCTAGCTGGTAGTAGGAATGCAGCTGATGGAGGTGGTTACGTGAGCCCAAGTTGGGCATGCTTTTGTAGTAAACGTCGTCCGAGCTGGCCTCCGGGCTCTTGGCGTCGCCGCCATCCTTGGAGCCATCTGCCGATTCTCCGGACACGTTGGGCAGGCCGGGCAGCATGGGCATGCTGGTGTAGAGGGAGTCTCTCTGGTGGCTGTGGCTGGGCGACGAGCCTTCGTCCTCAGTGTGCTCGTTGGTGAGTAAAGGGAAGAAGCTTTCGCTGTTCTCCTGGGGGATCCTCCTTCGAGACGAGGAGGAAGCGCTGGCGGACGAGAAGGGGTGGTGCGGCAGCGGCAGGGGTGGGGGTGCCGACTGGTGGAGGTGATTGTGAAGGTTGTCCACCGCCTGCAGGGATGGGGGCGGCCTCTGCGGCAACAGCGGGGCGTTCGACTCCTCGCGTATCAACTCCAAACCGAGGCCTTCGTCGTGGTGGGGGACAAAGGTGGAATGGTCATCAAGGCCCAGCGCGACATTCATGCCCATCCCTACGCCCAAGCCCATCCCGTAGCCGCCGTCCTTGCCGCCATTGCTAACATTATTGACCAGCTTATTCATGAGGTTCCGATTCTGCTCGCTTGAGCGCTCGTGGGAATTGTTGAGGTAGGAGGGGATGTAATTGGAGGTGAGCTCTTTTAGGATCTTCTTTTCCAGGGTCGTCTCCTTGTGGTTATAGCCCCGATCAATGATCTGGACGCAGTCACTCATGTACTCAGCGCTGGCAATGCTATAACTGTTGCCATGGTTACCATTCAGTGGTAGAGTATCCATGACACTTGTATCCCGGGCATTGTTCAGGATTCCCTCTGGAATGACAAAGATGAGTAGGGATATAGCAGCTGAATGAGAACAGTGAACTCTTGTGAGACATAAATGCTGTTTTTATCAGCAGCCATCAAATCACCAACCCTCCCAGTTCTATGAAATGCACTCGGACGTAAAGGCCTGGATTAGCATTTTTAATTAAAGCACACAGTTTACAGTAAAATCCTATGAGCTCACACTTACCTTCTTTTAAAAATTGTATTCAATACCAAGACTTACTTCATTTTCATGGAAATCAACAATTAAATGATGGCAGTGATGAAGACATTGATACATGTGCGATACCAGACAGCACCAAACTTCGAGCACGGCACAAAAGCACAAAACGCGTGCAGGCAGAGACAACGGACACATCGAAGCCATGCAATTAACTCTTAAAAGTGAAACACAAACCGGAACACCAGTTGTAGAATTTGGATCCCAACCATATTGTCCCATGTGAGCATTTAGAAACAACATTGTAAAAATGCATAGGCGGGGTGGGTATATATTGATATGTTTTATCAATGTGAACACAACTGATACTTCAAAGTAAAGCCACACTGGAAGGAAGGAGGCTTTCTGTTCTTTCTATTGCATGGACATGAAGCTTTCATAGCTTTATCAGTTAGCCAAGTCCATGCTATCAACATCAAAGCATATATTTGAAGATAATTCAAACTACCTCAGACAAGGCCATCCAGCTCGTTAAAGTGTCAAGCTCGCAGTCTGACCTCTTGAAAATTTGACAAGATGCACGTCTCAGACTTCTAAGAAGGAAATTAGCCTCGTAAAAAAATCTAAATATATATCTATGTACGTTTTTGGTATAATCAAATAAAAGGTGCACGAACGAAGGCACGGCGTTCTATTAAAGATCACAGATCAATTTATATCGACGTGCCTTTTCAAGCGTTGAGGTGAATCTTAATGTTAGCTGTAACTGGCTTCACTTATTCAGGCTGTGATATCAAATAGGCCTAGGACATGTGAGTGGAAGAAGTCTCTCTCTTGTCTTTTTTGAAACTACACCAAGTAGTGTAAATGTCTGTAAGCAGTGGAACTCGGGATGCGATTCAAACCAATTTAACTGGCATTCTTGTCAAGGTGAGGGGCCTTTGTCACAAAGAGAATTGTATTGCTTCCAAAGGGAATGACGTTGTTTTCATTACCCCTTTGTCAGCATCGAGTGAAAAGAAAGCAAAGCCAAAGTCAATTACATTTGATAAGCAATGTTTAGTTTGACTCCCATACTTGTCTCTCTGTAGGGCTCTTTTAGGGACAGCATGAGGGAAAGGAAAGAAGAAAAGAAAACACAGTAAGCATAACAGTGACAGGTAGAAAGAGGAAAACGCACATATAGTATGCTGATGACTCATCAAGAAAATGTTTCTGCAATGCAATAGATTGTTTTAACCCTCATGCAAATTCTGTGCACCCACACAAAGAACCTGAACATATCTCATAACAAACAAATATATATATATATATATATATATAGCAAGAGAGAGAGAGAGAAAGAGAAAAAAAGATGGAATCCTTGGGTAAAACACAGATACGGTACTTTAGTGTCAAATAGACAGATAAATCTTTTGATGCATTAGCAGTCTTACTCTTCCTCATCTATGGCAGTGTAAGTGAGTCATAGCCCTCCATCACAACCTCCAATGTAAGCATTTTGTATTTCATACATAAATTATCAGCTGATCAAAGCTCTCTGAGGTTCTTTGTTGTTGTTGTTGTTTTTTAACTTGAGTTTTCCCAGTTTTACAGACTCGCAAAGTTACAGCAAACACATATTGAGTTGCTGAGAGCTGGAATAGCTCTGCAGAGAGAAAATAAAATAGCATTTCGATAGTCATACTGACCCACGATAGCTTGCCAGCTCTAATACTTGGAATGCTTTAATATCTGCGATACTGAAAATGTTTTTTGTTTTTAAATCACAATAAGTAGACTGAATCTATGTTGAGTTGAAAATCTACATTTGAACATATGAATGAGTAATTATGACAGTTACCAAGTTTGAAATGAAGTGCTAAATAGCTATTTCTACGGTGGCCCTGAGAGGCCAAATGGACTGCAACTTAAGAAAACACCAGCAATAAGAAAAACACTGCAAAAGCACACAAAACACAACAGAAATAGAAAAAATGGAAATAGGAAAAAACAGATTTCCAAAATCACAAGAGAAGTGTTTCTGGGGAGACAATAACCCGACGGACCAGTTGCAGGAACCAAAACATGCTAGGTGTGTTTTATTCTCATGATTCATGTAATGCTGATGGCTGATTTTTAGGCTAATAGTTAGGCTAACACACTTACCTCTCATCTTTTCTTTCCTCATAAAACCGATAGATCCTCCACTTCTTTTAAGTGTCACCCAGCGCAATACTTAGCATATTTTGGTTCCTGCAAAATTCCTGCTTTTGGAAATCTGTTTTTTCCTATTTCTGCTTTTCCTATTTCCATTGTGTTTTGTGTGCTTTTACAGCGTTTTTCTTATTGCTGGTGTTTTCCTAGGTTGCAGTCCATTTGGCCTTTCAGGGCCACCGTAAATTACAGCTAAAGAAACAAATGAACTGTAACCTCTGAATTTTTCCTTCAAACCGCTCTGTTATGTAGCACCGGCGATTTGCATTTTTAAATTCTTGCTTGCCTCAGCGACATTTATCACAAAACAACAGTGTCTGAGAATCTAACAGCGGTGTTCACGAGAATGCAATGCTAAAAGCTAAAACAAAAAAACAAAACAAGAAAACATTGAGACAAAGCACACACGAGCTTCACTGACAACACAGGAGCACATTTAAAATAAATGACTGGTGTTGTATCTGGCTCCCTATAGGCGCCTACTCTTGATTTCAGAGGATTTCCTCATTTTTACACTGTGTGTTTGGCCAAACAGCCACGAGTGAGTGCAACTTATGTAATCGAATAGCACGGCTCTGAACACAAGCCAAGATGCAACACCACTGAAAAATCCCACAGCAAAACAAACCTGTAGGATTTTTATGATAAAGCTATAGCTTGTTCAAAGCTAACACAAAGACAGCAAGGGCAGTGTTGTTGTTTTTTTTTGTTTCTAAATTAAAGCGCTGTTAAAACTCTCAAGGCGACTGCTGGGATTTCAGCTTAGTGCATTACTTTTAATAGTCCAATCATAAAGTTGCTTTTTGTTTTGGGATGGGAACAAAGATGTGCCCCCTAGAGTACCTCCAGGCTCAGACATGAAAAAAAAACAAAACACTGCCCTAGCCACAATGTTAAAGAATGAAAGAAGCTTGCACACCTTGTGTGTTGTACATGCCCAGAGGGTTGTTATAGACTGCCGATTCCCCAAGCAATGTATTATAGGGATTGTTAGTGCCATGAGGACGTAGGAGTGCATTAGGTATAAGATGGTTAGCCATAGCCCCTGGAGCAGCCAGAGAAAGACAGAGTGAGACAGGAAAAAAGGAGACAGGAAAAAGGTAGGTGGGTAGATAAATTGAGATATAGACAGAAACAGAGAGAACATACATATCAGTTGGGCAGATGCAGCTGAGCAGTGACAGCCATTAACATCCAAATGATCATATGGTCATTAATGTGAGGGAGGTTTTGCTACATGAAAGTGGCAGAACTGACGCGGCTAATGGAAAGTGTATTAATTGTACCGTTAATGTCGGCCATTAGCTTTAAGCCCTTTTTCGTGCTCCACATTCAGGCAGTATACAGGTAAACTTTCCAAAGGAGAACCGACATGGCCAACACAGCACAGGTATTGGTACGTCTCTGGACTCAAACAGGACAACACAGAGGGCACGCACCTGTCTGAGGGTGTTTTAGGAAACTGCATTACTAATTACTTTTTTTACCCCCAATATTAATGTTAGGAATGTCATAGGTGTGTCTCAACTCCTAGGCCAGGTCCTTCAGAGGCCACATTTGAAGGCCAATTACGTCAGAGCTAGGAGACGAAGGCTGTCCCAATTCGAAGGCTGCTCCAAATGCGGCCAACAAATACGTCTTTCGTTTCCCTGGATTTGAAGGATGAGTCGGGTGTATCCTTCATGGCCCAACCTATCCCAGAATTAATAGCGCGGCCCAGCCAATTCCAGTTTCCAACAATGGCGGCAGCTACTCAGTTTTATTACTCTTTCTTGGTCACAAAATGAATTTTTAAGATATTTTCAGGCGAGAATGTAGCTGTGTAAACTTCAAATATCTGCTCGATTAATCAAGAGATCACACAGGCCACGCAGACCGCGAAGGCCAGGTCCTCTGAAGGATGCGGCCTAGGGGACACAGCTAAAGCTGCATATTTCTTTTAAAAGCAGGGGTGTATTGCTTCTCAGACTGGAGCTGAATATGCAGTACAGCTGTCCACATTCTTCTCTCGCTGTCCCATCCGCCAATTTCACGATGGCCCTCGAGCCGACTCCACTGAGAGTCTTTTTACTGCTTGAGCTCACATTACATTACTACTAGAAGTATGATATAAGGTTGAAGAGAAAGATGTATAAGTGCAGAAGCCTGGGAAGTAAACACAGTCCCAGGAAGAGGTTTTATCTGACAGCCATGGAGTAAAAAAGGAAGGATTGCTTCATCCCTGTAACTGAGCTGCTAGCTAAAAGCTACTGGTATGTTAGCCTAGCTTAGCTGAGCTACTAGCTACTTGCATGTTAGCAAAGCTCTGTTTTTGCTTTAGTTTTTTTGTTTGTTTGTTTTTATTAAGGCCAGCACATGTAGGCTGATAACAGATTTGGTAACGTGTGTTCATGATATGCTAATTAGCCATGTTCTCGTGATACTTAAGCTAATTAGCATTGTTGAACTATAAAGGAGCATCCAGACAGGGAGTGATTCACTCATCCCGCATTGCTTTCAAGTTGAGCATTGGTCGCTGGCGGACATTCCAGACTGGGTGACATTCCAATACAGGGGTGGGCAATTCGTTTTCCCAATTTGAGAGACTGGGACTGTTGTGGATGCACCAATAAGCTGAAACAATCTGCTCGATATTAATTTTAACTTTATAAGCTTATCGGTGGGCCCTCCACAACAGTCCCAGTGTCTCACATGAACAAATAGGTTCATGGCACAGGTCCCCCACCACCTTTGGGATTGGCTGCTCTAACATGTACTACCCAACCCTATGTCACTCACCAAGAGCAGGTAGCAGCTTCAATTGGCAGTAAGCGTTATATACATGAACTTTTATCAACTCATCACAAGCAAAGCAAAGCATCAGATCCACAATTCAGTTCAACAATGCAAGAACTCTGCTCCGTTTAAAGTGAATGAAATGCACGACCAAGGATGCCTGAAACGCTTACGTGTGTTTACATTTTTAAAGACCCTTCAGGTAAATATTGAACTGGAAAATAATGATCCAAACATCATCGAGCCTTTGAAAAAAAATAATAAAAAGAATTCTCTCCCTTTTTCACACGCTTAAAAACACAACAAAAAATAAGCCTGGGTATAAACGCTAGTTAAAAATAAGATCTATTCACAGCTTTGTTGTTGTTGTCCTGCCTGTGTGGAAGTTCGGCCTGAGTTTAGCTACTTTAGCGCCTCAGCTCTGCTGTTGTGCTCAATTGCGGGAAGTTTACACTCTCTGACATAGCATTGGAAATGAAGTTGACTGCTGCTGAAAAGAAATGATAGGCCTGCTTTTGTCTATCTTTAAAAAAAAAAGAATTTCAAGAGGCAGAGCCCTGACTATTAGCGCTGTAAATTGCATGCTGTGTGAAAATGGGAAGCTTGACAGGTGCAGCAGTACGAAGGAAGCCTACCAACAGCCGGGGCCTGCACCATTATTATTACTTCTGGCATTGCCAATCTTATGAGATGAAGTGGTCTAATATTTCCTTTTCTCCAAAGAGCAAAGTTCAATACTTGCTCATTCTCTTTGCGCAGTTGCCGAAATAACCTTTGAATGAAGCGATATGTCCTCTCTATAGTGAAGACGGTCATTACTTTGCATCAGCCTCGCCTCTTCCACGGAAACAGAACAGAGGCTCATTTTCTATTTATGCAGCGCTTGTGTTCAGATTCTTGCTGCCAGGATCTGGCCCAAATGACTCATCAGTTTCCCATCCACATACTACCGCACCAAAGCAACCTTCACAGTCTGAGCCCGGTGATTAGCTGCAGATTTGAAGGCTGCAATCTCAAACACGAATGCTGCAGATTCAGTAATGTTTGTTTTTCTTACAGTAGCTGATGGTTAAAAAAAAAAAATCCAAGTGTCTGAATACATTATGCGGGATATCAAGTATGCTGAAAATACTTCTCAGGCGCATTCATTTCCTGTTTACAAGTCGTTGATTTTCTTTTTTTTCCTTCTCTCTCCACGTCAACGTATGAGGCTATTATTTTTAAAGGAGCCGAATTTAAGACTTGTGAGGGCGTTACATGCGCGCGCCTCCTGTATGCACTGTGCCAGAGCGGGTAAACATCTTTTATCTGAGGTGCGAGTACACCGTAATTAGATCCTCCGGCAGAGTGTACTGTTCTTTTTCCAACGCTCTGAATCTGTCACACCACTGGGGAAAGGTTTTTATAGTACCCCGTGACTCTCCCCTTCCTCTTAAAAGTTAGACTTCTTTTTTTTTTTATGGCGTTCTAATTGCACTTGTACTTTTTATGTCTAAAGACTATGCTTAATGAAATTTAAAAGCACTATAGTGCCGCTGCGTTGGTCTCATCTTTCAGCATTATTCCTACTTTTTTGAGTATTAATTAGCCACGTTATCATTTTGCCTGGGAATCTGGATGTTTAGATTTTTAAAACAAGAAAAAAACCTGTAATTTGATGTTGCTGTTGCTGCTTGCCCTAATTACAGAGTATTCCATAAACACCAGCCCCCCTCTTGAATTCTCCCAATGACAGATCCCCCACTGACTGTGCCTGTGTTTGAATTGGACAATTTGCCCACCCCCCAAAAAAAAGAAAGAATCACACTGATTGTGCAGAAATAATCTTGAATGCTGGGATAAATTGAACATGCAAAGCTATCAAGATGATTGCATGACTCCGCTCTCGAGATGATCACAGTCAGAGCGTCAGCTGCAGGCTCACTCTCTCACACACAAGGAGTTTCGGGGGGGAAGAAGAATACAGAGCACAAAACAGCTAGGAATATTCGCTCCTCAACATATAATTCCTTAATAACAACACGGGAGCAGCCTCGGAGAAGTGCAAATTCTATTTGCATCTGTTTCTTATAACACGTGGGATGGAAGAACACACTTCCCAGCATGCTCTTTAGCTCATGTGAGTGTTTTCTCAATCAGATCGAGCCTTGTGAGAAGGCCGGGGGGATTGAAATGAACGTATAATTTTTACCTCTTTTTATTTTAACATATATTTACAGGAGATCCATGCAGGCTTTTCTTTCAGTCCTGCCCCGTTTCAGCCTCCCCACTATTGATAAAAGCTGCGTCTGTTGACGGTGCTAAGCCGAGCACCTAATTATTGAGATCATGACACTTCCTCCCCGTGTCGAACATTAATCCATCATTGTAAGTGTGCATTAGCGTCTATGCGAGCAGACGCCCAGAGCGAATTTAGAGAGTGAGCGGTGTGGCACTCGCGTCAAGAGATGTCGGGGAGGGATGCCAGCGAGCGCAGCATTTGCTCCCGTTAACCTGAGAGACTCCAAAGTTTACTCTGTCTGTCAATGAATTATATGGAAACTCTTTAGTCACATATATATGAGAGAAGCTCCCAGCCAATTGATTTTTAGGTTTTTCAGTAAGCACTTTTCCTGGTTTCTCACTCAAGGCTTTTACAGGCAGAATGGGCCGGGTGTTCAATATATCCTTTATTGCACACTCATCAAATGAATTAAATGTGATGAAATGCATGATTTACCTAGAACCTGCTATTCTCTCTACCACCTAATCTATTTAGTGTTACTTTTCCTAACAAAACGATAGAAAACGGTTGGTTTGTACTTCAAAATAAGACATAATAAACAATTTTCTGCAGCGGTGAAGCATTTATCCTTTCAATCTGTCACTTGAACAGGTAAGAGTTTGCAGCTCTATTGGCAGGAGTTTTCATTTTCGTGATTTCTTACATTGTAAACCTTGCTGTGGTATTTGGTAATAATTAACAGCCAAGTAGGGTGGGGGAGATGCATATTTCACTTGGCGTTTTTAATTATTTCGCAGTATGTGAGGAAAATTGCTGTGAAATGAGTGATTTGCCTTGACTTTTTACAGCTGGATTGAGGTTTGCAGCTGAAAGCTTTAAAGAGGCTTTTAATTCTGCAAAGCCCTCGTGTCATTATTAAGAGGAATGCAAGTCCAAACGCAATTTGAGAAAAATAGCGTTGCTTTTGTGAGAGAGAGAGAGAGAGAGAGAAAAAAAAATAAAAAAGTTTCTCAGTCACAGTCATAAATTCTGAGGTGAAGGCTGGTGTATTGAATCACTCAAGAAAAGATGTGCTGCGGAAACAAATACCTCTGTTGAGCGATGCAGAGCTGTTGATGTCCCCGGTCATAAAAGAGGACTCGGACTGTTTTCTGACCGTGTCGTTCCACATTCGACGGATGCGGCTCTGCGGAGAAAAATAACATTTCACCTTATAAAAATATTCACTCTGGGGGAAAAAAATAGAAGTCTGCACATGGAGGACGAGTGAAAAGTCTCAGGCTTTCAGCATATTTCCTCAAGCGTGCACTCATATTCTTCACAGCTCAATAACGGCTGAGATATGAAGAAAAAGAGATGCTATCGGCTTTCGAATCTAGTATTTAACCCTGAAACATGTCAGCTGTAGGGATAAGTAACCTCCAATTAAAAATGAGCATTAGCACTATGACAGGTTAAATCAATAATAAAGTCATCAGTCAAGCTCTCTTGAGTCTGTATCTTGGGTTGGAAAGGGCTCAATCCAACAGAGTTCATCCTGGTTAATTATCACAGTCCCGTGGGCTATTGCACAAGCTAAGGGAGTGCATCTAACCATAGAAAAGAGTCCTTTCTATCCTGTGTGCAGAACATTTGAGAGTTTTCTGATTAAAGTATAAAAAAATTGTTGTTTTTAAAACTATACATTTGTGATGGTATACTTAACCAGGCCGAAACAAGGCTTGGTTGTCAAATGTAGGGAAAAAAGGGATAAAGGCTGTTTGGTAACCCGTGGCAACATATGAAAAAAATATGCATTCCTCAATCAGTTGGCAGCTGGTTGCAGCAGGTGAAATTGGCCACAAAGAGATGTTTGGTGCTACACGAAAAAACCTCCTTGCGATTGCTCTGGCAGATTGCTACAGTTACCTGTAGTTGGCGTCTTTTATGGAAATCGCCAACTTGTGTGCAGACACTTGCCAACCGCTCACTGAGCAACCTTTAAAATAAAAGGTCCACCTTCTGATCCGTGTTGGTTGCAGCACTGAGGGACGGCCTTTACTTTGAAGGTGAGCAATTTCCACTCTGTCTGTGTCCTCTGTGCAAATTATAGGTGACACTGGCAATCTAGTAGCTACCAAAGAATGCACAAGAGCATGCTGAAGTTGCCAAACGGTCTCTAGGCCTGTGTTATTGGAGCCTTACTAAGGAGTTTTTCCACCACATGTGGCCAGAACAGCTTCAATGCACCTTGGTATTGATTATGTGCATGTGTGAAACTCTCCTGGGGACAATGAACACCCTTCTGCTTTAACATTGCTGGTGAAAAAAGTGGTCTAAATGACCCTGAAATTCCCAGACACGGGATTGATTGGTTTGAGATTTTTTTAACTGAAGGTTAAAAATTCAGTTAACATAGTTTTCATACTTATCAGACCAACGGATTTCAAGGGTCATGGGTTTTTCCTTTAATCTGTCACATCTGTATATAATACATTTTAAGCAAGACTCCAAGTTAGCCAGACTTCTCAGGAGGAAATTATCCTCCCAGTAATCCATTCATCGAGTTTAACAACATTACGCCTTTCATCTGTCTGCTTTTACTGCAGCCTTTACCCCATCACTGGTTCACCCCTTCACCAGTGCACCAATAACAAGTCAAGCCTCCATCTGCACTTCCCTTAGGGGACCTGTGACTGGATGTGAGTTACAGGGCCCTAACCCTATAAATCTAACTAATCGATGCGGCCGACTGCAAATTTTTAATTAAATGAATCTTGTTCATTTTGATGATTTACTACTACTACTAGACTTGTGTGTGGAACAGTTTCCAGTTAAAGCAGAGCTTATTATGGTCCACTTAAAAATAATTTGGGTACTAAATGCAACCTGGCTAAAGTTTTAATTTGGTTTGATTGTTCACTCAGTCCTTTAATTTTACCCATGGTGAATTCTTGATTTTCATAAGTGATGGAAAATATTTTTAAATACAGACTCATTGTGTAACCATAAATGGAAGGCTGGTTCAAATCCCTGAAATCCCTGAAAAAATAATGCAGTTCAAAGGTCTAAGACAGCGGTCCCCAACCCCCGGGCCCCGGACCGGTACTGAGTTGAGGCTCAGGTGTGAAATTTATGGTTTTCAGGGTTTTTATCTTTAACTCGGTTTTCCTGGGTCTTTCCCCGTGTTGTAGTTGTGTGTCTTATTTTGAAAGAAATGTTTACGCGTTAACATAGCGACCAGAGAGCATTAATGGGCAGAGAGGAGGATGTTACTCTCAGTGTTGTTGGCGCATTTCAGGAGGACGCTGCTAATAAAGTTACAGAATCACACAGTGAATTCGCGTTTCTTATCATATTTACAAAATATCACAGTTTTTGTCTTGGTCGTATCCTTTTATTTTGTTGTATTTACACCTTAAAGGCTGATCCATGAAAATATTGTCTGACATTAAACCGGTCTGTGGCTCAAAATATGTTCGGGATCGCTTATCTAAGAGAAAACTATCCTCCTGTAATGGGAGCTAGAGCACAATAGAGCAACTGGTTCAAACCCCACATGAAGCATTTTTAGATTTAAACATATATACCTCCACACGCTCAAAATGTAGGTAGGAAGACTTAAAATAAAAGGGAAAGTTACTCAGCACGCTGGCTGTCTTTTTTCATATGCTAAATGCTTTCTTCCACCTTTTCTATATTTCTTCCTACTCCGGCTTTAACTAAAATTGGAGCAGCTGTCACTATACCTCACCTAATCTCTCGCTGAGCTTCCCCATCGCAGTGTGACATTTAAACCGAGGGCATGTTTTTATTTATAAAAGCTTAAAGCATTTTTCACATCATGAATTGGCGTCTGTTTCGAGCCGAGATGACACATCGCTCACATATTCAAACAGCAACATATACTGACACAGCTGATCTCATTATCATATTGCACACGATTCTGTCCCCAGACCTAAGGGACACAGATGGGTTGAAAATGACAGTGCCATTTCTTCTTCTTCTCCTTTTTTTTGGACGGACAAAAACTTGAACCATTCATAGCCGACGGGTTCGAATGTGCTCTGCTGATTACACATTCATTCCGAAGCCTCGGAGTTAGCAATAAACAACCACATCTTTCTGAGTGTTTCCATTCCTGTCTCGCTCATATAAAGTGACTGAGCATGAGGTTAGAGCCATCTTGTCAAACCACTGTGTATAATTAAACGCTTTGATCTGTGTGCGGAATCCAGCTTGTACCGTGGGTTGCCACTGCACACTTGACTCTAAGGACTATTTATAATTGAACACTGGAAGAAATCGCACTCTTTGGGATATGGATACGATGTTCAGCTACGGCGTATCGCGCCAATTCATCCTATACTTCACGTCAACGTGGGTGGAATCCATTAACAATTTACTTTACAAGGAGACTTACCATCTATGCACCGAATTTACAAACCCTGGCATAGACAGTCAAATTTGAATTTGTAAGCATGAACAAATTCCCCATAAAGCTGAAGCCAGTACTTTCCTCAACGTCACTGTACCGATGCGCAGCCTAAATCCGCCCCAGTGAAAACGAATTGCAGACTTACTCTTTTGCTTGCCTACTTTCTTCAAATCTTACGTAATCCTGAGTATCACTCGGGATCAAATCATTTCCCGCCTCTAGCTGCAGCATGCACATACACTACAAAGAAATCATCTTGCTGTTCACCTTTTTTTCCAAAGAACATATCACGTGGTAAGTTACAGGAGTGAAAAATGCTATTTAACCTGCGATCCCGTCGAATAACGTCCAGGAGCACGCGAGGCGGTGCCCTTGCCAGAGCCAATGGAGCTGTCCACGCTTTTGCCGCTGCAGCAGTGAGTACGCAGGCACTTCCCGTACTCCTTACGCACCTGTAAATTCAAAAGCACAGACAGGTTCGCACTAGCAGCTCACCGCTTTCCAAACTTGCTACACTCCAGCATGCTCGTTATGGAAATCAATTCCAATGTGCATGCAGTTAATTAATGTGAGACCGTGCTATTTTCTGGATACGGGAGAGAACGCAAATGCCGACCTTCTTCTGCAGCACACAGTGGAAGATGAAGATGAACATTCCCTGCAGGGAGTTGAAGATAGTGAAGAGGTAGGCCATCACCACTGTGCTCTCGTTGACGTACATGAGGCCGAAAGCCCAGGTTAGGCCCAGCAGACATAGCAAGGCGATGGCGCCGATCACCCAAGATCTGAAATGTAAGCAAATAGCCATTTGATGAATAATTAATAAAAGCTGTCATTTCAGGAGAAGGAACATAAACTGCACCAAAGATATTAGGTCATAAAGCAATAAGGTACAACTTTAACTGTAAGGTCTGGAAATGAAGAACCTGCTTAATCCACAATTATAAATACAGTTTGAAATGAACAGGGAAAGGAAACTGATGATAAATGAGAATGATTTTTTTTCCCTTTTAGTCTTTTTCTATTCTTTATTTTTACACTTGCACTCTTTCAAACAAAAAGAAAAGCCTTTGATCCTCCCACAAAAATTAAGTGCAGTCTATATGTGTGGGCGACCAGTAAATACAGTCCTCGTTTCCAGGAAAAGAAAATTCATTAGTATATTACATGTTGGATTCTAGTGCCTGAGCTGAGTGTCTTGTAAAATCTTACTCAAGCAGAAGGTTTATCTGAAACAAATGCCCTTGAGATTACAAAGTCTATTAAGAGTAAGGGCTCTATCTTTGTGCTGGTGCACTGCGCAGAGAAGTGGCAGTTTTTTTTCCCCTTCACCTGCACCCTTTTGTATTCTGGTGACCCCTCTGGCAAGATCTAGATAAGTGTTTAATCACATTAATACACGATTCTTGTCAGAATGTGCCGTCTACCCTTACATGTACAGTATCCATGTAGTGCGCTTTGTCAAAGCTTAACCTCCTAAGACCCAAACTCTTCCACGGCATGCATTTTTAATTTCTCTTTGATATTTGGGCTGATTGGGGCCCGATGAATGTAAAAGCAAAGAATCACCAGATTTTTTTTTACCTTATTTTTGTTTTTATGAAAAATAAGAGCAACATATGAGGATATTAGTTTAAAATTTTGATAGAACAGTAGCAGTATAATGTCCTCATAAGTGGATATCAGGCCCTTGTAGAGCAGAATTGAGTATTTTGGTCTAAATAACCCAAAATGTGATGTCCACATACAGTGGGGCAAAAAAGTATTTAGTCAGCCACCGATTGTGCAAGTTCCCCCACTCAAAATGATGACAGAGGTCAGTAATTTGCACCAGAGGTACACTTCAACTGTGAGAGACAGAATGTGAAAAAAAAATCCATGAATCCACATGGTAGGATTTGTAAAGAATTTATTCGTAAATCAGGGTGGAAAATAAGTATTTGGTCACCTCAAACAAGGAAAATCTCTGGCTCTCACAGACCTGTAACGTCTTCTGTAAGAAGCTTTTCTGTCCCCCACTCGTTACCTGTATGAATGGCACCTGTTTGAACTCATCATCTGTATAAAAGACACCTGTCCACAGCCTCAAACAGTCAGACTCCAAACTCCGCCATGGCCAAGACCAAAGAGCTTTCGAAGGACACCAGGAAAAGTATTGTAGACCTGCACCAGACTGGGAAGAGTGAATCTACAATAGGCAAGCAGCTTGGTGTGAAAAAATCAACTGTGGGAGCAATCATCAGAAAATGGAAGACATACAAGACCACTGATAATCTCCCTCGATCTGGGGCTCCACGCAAGATCTCATCCCGTGGGGTCAAAATGATCATGAGAACGGTGAGCAAAGATCCCAGAACCACACGGGGGGACCTGGTGAATGACCTGCAGAGAGCTGGGACCAAAGTAACAAAGGTCACCATCAGTAACACACTACAACGGCAGGGAATCAAATCCCGCAGTGCCAGACGTGTTCCGCTGCTGAAGCCAGTGCATGTCCAGGCCCGTCTGAAGTTTGCCAGAGAGCACATGGATGATACAGCAGAGGATTGGGAGAATGTCATGTGGTCAGATGAAACCAAAGTAGAACTTTTTGGTATAAACTCAACTCGTCGTGTTTGGAGGAAGAAGAATACTGAGTTGCATCCCAAGAACACCATACCTACTGTGAAGCATGGGGGTGGAAACATCATGCTATGGGGCTGTTTTTCTGCCAAGGGGACAGGACGACTGATCCGTGTTAAGGACAGAACGAATGGGGCCATGTATCGTGAGATTTTGAGCCAAAACCTCCTTCCATCAGTGAGAACTTTGAAGATGAAACGAGGCTGGGTCTTCCAACATGACAATGATCCAAAACACACCGCCCGGGCAACAAAGGAGTGGCTCCGTAAGAAGCATTTGAAAGTCCTGGAGTGGCCTAGCCAGTCTCCAGACCTCAACCCCATAGAAAATCTGTGGCGGGAGTTGAAAGTCCGTGTTGCTCGGCGACAGCCCCAAAACATCACTGCTCTCGAGAAGATCTGCATGGAGGAATGGGCCAAAATACCAGCTACTGTGTGTGCAAACCTGGTAAAGACCTATAGTAAACGTTTGACCTCTGTTATTGCCAACAAAGGTTATGTTACAAAGTATTGAGTTGTATTTTTGTTATTGACCAAATACTTATTTTCCACCCTGATTTACGAATAAATTCTTTACAAATCCTACCATGTGGATTCATGGATTTTTTTTTCACATTCTGTCTCTCACAGTTGAAGTGTACCTCTGGTGCAAATTACTGACCTCTGTCATCATTTTAGGTGGGGGAACTTGCACAATCGGTGGCTGACTAAATACTTTTTTGCCCCACTGTATGTGGACGCCAGGTCCTAGGAGGTTAATTATGCACACCAGAAACATCATGTTGTGGCTACTAAAGACTGCACATACAGCACCAGACTGACTAAACCAACTCTTGTGCACATTAATTTTTGGTTTTATCAGGATTCATCATAGCTGGGCTGTTATAGTTACATTTCTTGGGAGTGTTATTGGTTTTATGCTTTTAATGTGATGAGCTAATGTGATGAGCTTTTCCTTAACAGCAACATTTAAATTCATGTTGATGTGATATTTCTTTGTCTTTAGCAATTATTAAGAATATTATTGATTGTATACATAAATAAGACTTTCATATTTTCTGAGCTGCGATTTGTGCAAACTGTAATTCCAGTCGCCAAGTCTGTTTTCTTGTTGCTATGTGCTCATCTGACCTGGTTTTGAGAAATTGTATCATTTTGGTTCAAGAAATTTTATAAGAGTGAACTGATAATCTCTGCTGATCATCCTTGTGCTTATGTCATCTTGAGCTTTCCATTTGTTTTAGCCATTGAGTGCATGTAGCTATTTTATCTGTTTTAATTTAGCTAGCTTATGAAGCTAAGCTTTAGTTATTTTTAGCAATTCATTTTAAACATATATTCACTATTATTAAACTGCTTCAACCTTTTATTCAGCTTTTGCCATTACTTAAGCTTTATATTTCAACTTTTTATTGATTACTTTTAGCTACCAATCAGTTACTTTCAGAAAATTAGTTCTTCCATACAATCACTATTCTTAGCTAACTAGCCATTAGCCATTAATTTTGATGGTTACTTTTAGTTATCATTAAATTGTTTTATACAAAAATCTTATAGTAGAATTCCATCTTTCACTTTTAGTTTTTCAGCTGCTTAATAGTTACTTTCGTTTATCACTCACTTTTTTAGCCACTTTTAGCTAGTTTTCAGGTTTAGCCTTTAGCTAGCTATTTTATTCATTGTTGTTCCACATTGCCTCTAAACGCATGTAATTTGTCATTAATTCCTATGTGTTGCTTTTTCTTCCTGTAATAATCTTTTTAAATGTCCTCAATGAGCACCTTGGGTTGGACGCCCAGCCCTTCAATTCAAACTTTGATTTGTGCCCAGATTCTTCCTTTTTGTTCTGGATAAAGGGAAGATGGGTGTATGGTATTTACACTACAGTACTAACATTTCTATACAGTGCGCTGTAACAATACAGGTGCCATTTAAAACTAATCTTGCTTGTCTCATCTGTAGGCTATGTATATCTAAGATCAGAGTACTTTGTGCACACTAATGTGGCCTTCAATGTGACTGAGTGCTCTACTATAAATCATGTTAATGATTCAGGGAGGCAGCCAGATGGATTTGGGTGCTGATTTGTTCATGGTGGAGTAAATGAAAGATGGCATTATGAGGAAAAAAAGGGCCATTCCAATTTTGTCTTACTTCATCTTAGGTTCATAATCCTGATAGCTGAGCCATATAATGAGAACAAAATAAATTAGAGAACAGACAGAAATGAATCAAATCACATATTAAAGCAATGCAGAGGTAAAATAAATAAACAAAGATGTGGCAATAAATCCAATGTAAAAATTTAGAAATGAAGATGGAAACAACACAACGAGAAGGACGATGGCTTGCTTGCCTGTATGGGATTGATGCTAGCCTGCATTAATCCAATACATTTCCACATTTCCACATTTTGGAAGCGGATTTGTTAGTGATTTACAGATGTTAACAATAATTATCTCTTTTGCATAGGTATCTAGTTCCCTTCATAAATGCTGGCAGACCTTCACATTTAAGCGGTTATAAATGGGCCAGGTGCGCAGCAAAATAAATGATTTATGAATTCACCAGAGCAACCATTAAACATAATTTTCCCAGGGCTGTCTTAATGACCTGGTGGGAAAGGTACTTTATCAAGGCGATTGCCCCCAGATTGGACACAGAAACACAGGCAATGGACACACACAAAAAAAGAACAAAATGTTGTCCTCTAACTAGTGGGAGTTTTGTTGGAGGGATAGCGGATGATAGAGACAAAAGAGGTCATAAGAAATGCGTTGAGAGGACAGGATATGAAGAGGGTACGACTCATATCAGCACGGCACGGCTTATCTTCTTCTGGAGTTATCAGATAAAAATATGAGGGTGATTTTGAGGGCTGCATAGTAGGAGCCTCGAGGCAAAACTTCTGAGACTGCATTACAGTCGCTGAAAAGCATAACAGCTCACTTACAAATGAAGCGGGTGCATCTCAGCTTTTTTAGGCCCCATTCAGAACTGTAGCCTGAAAGCTACTAATACAATATCACTTACTGATCTGCTCATATTCTCAGCATCATTAACTTCAAAATAGTTTATGTAAAGTATATTTGACAAAGCTAATTATGTCGTAAAGGAATAATTGTAATTAAATGCTTTAAATACATTTTAGGGTGTCAAATTTAGCATTTTAGCAACTTATGCACTTTAGCTCAATTGTGGTCGTCACAAAGCCCGTACAAAAGCCCGTATAAATATATAATACATATACTGAGTGCTGTAGTAGACAGCTTTCAGCACTTTCCCTCCAAAAAAAGGTTTTATTGTACTAATTGTTGCCAAAGGGGGGCAATTTTAAGCAGAGAACTATTTCAGTCTGTGACATCAAATTACCTATTTCCCTCCAAATGACTTAATTTGCAGAGGTGCCATTCATTGCAATGTCACAGATCATTTATGTATGAGATTGCAATTGGTCAATTCAATTTGTTTTAAATCTACATAAAGTCATTTCATAGGCTCTTTCTGGGAGAGGAAAAAGAAGTGCCGTGATCAGGCCAACAGGGGTGTTAATTATTTAACCAAAGGTATGCTCTAAATGCAAATCACCCCAAAAATGTTTAAGACATCAATAGCGCAAAGTTTTTGATGACGGCACAGACATTTTTTTTAAATCTTTTACATCACAGCATTAGCATATTTCATTTGAAGCTCCTTATCTGAATTGGGAGGACTCTATGCTAAGCTAAAAATGTTCAGTCCATCATCTTCTAAGAAAGCTCAATTCAAGAGTAAGTTTGGTATTCAAAGTTACATCGGTGCAAAAGTCACGCTGCAATCCATGAATCACGGGGCAGCAGCAGCCACTGTCTCCATTACGGGGTGAGGAGGGGGGAAAAAACCACATCAAACACGATATCAATTCTATTCTACTCCTCTTCTGAGAAATGTTGCATCTTACCAGTGCCATTCTACAATAACACATCCATCATAATAACGGTAGCTAAAATGAAGAGGAGGGAGGAAAAAAATAGAAGATGAGAAACAGAAAGATGTTAAAGATAAACACGGCATAAGATAAAAAGGCAGGATGTGAGTGCTAATCAAAAAAAAGAAAAGCAAAGAGGGAGAAAGAGATACTCGGTGAAACAGAGATGAAACACTCATATTAAAACAAGGCAGTATGATGAAATCTGAACAAAAAACATGACATCAAGCCATAAAGAGGAACCAAATAGCAGGAAGATGAAACTAAAGAAGGCATAGCTCATTAAGCTAGGCTAAATTGACTTAATTAACCAATGCTATCATGATCATTAAAACCGGCTCACCTTGATAGATCATTAAAGGTAAAAAAAGCATTGGATATATATATATATATATATGTATATAAAAGCCCACAGTAGCCTACACCTAATTCCAGTTTTCTGTGTGTGTTCATAGCGTTTTCTAATGGATGTTGGTGTAAAAACCTCATCAGATGAATGACGGCTGACAAAAAGCTGTACAGATCCATCTCTTTTTCTTTTTCTTTTTTTTTTCTTTTACAAACGGCCAACACTGCAGAGTGTTTTCGAGTCGGTAAGACTTGGGTTGAGGAGGTCAGTGGGTTGCTACATTTAGGAGAGCGCAGTGTTATAAATCACGTGACACTTAGGACCACAGCAATCAATATTTTTCCTGCAGAACCAACTACACAATGTATCTGGCCTTTGGAAAAATGGCCGATGTACATAAGTGGTCACATAATATGCTGGCGTCTTACTGAGTAGTAAGTAGTTACCTACTGCAAACTTTAAGATGAACTAAATCACATTGAATCATTTGTTGTATTTACTTTTTAAAGCATTTTCGATCAGTGTTATAGTCAGCGATGTACTTGCTGGTAATCAGCAATCCATTTCCAGGCTGAGCAGGCTAGGCACAGGGTCTGTGTGGGCAGCAGGTGTCCTGCTTGTAGTTCTCCAAATATCTGAAACATGGCACATTTGTGCTTCATAGTAGATGTTCGAGATTGGCCGTGTGCCTCTCCTTACACATACTACGCATATGTCTTGGTGTGAACGTGCAGTAAATGTGCAGAATCTATTGTTTAAGCATGTCGGTTTCTCGAAGCAGATCTGCCTGTGAGCAGAACACATACTGTGAGCCTACTCCCAACACTCTTCATAAGATTGGGAGGACACAGAAAGAGGCCATATGTTACAACGTTTAAAAGTGAGCTGCCAACACAAATAACAAGAAAATCCTGAAACACTTGGAGAAATGAGGTGGCACTGATTGGCTTTCACCATGAAGCCGCTGCAGGAGGTGTCAAGTTTGGATTAAGTATAGAAACCTCGTTATAGCTTTGACAAAGGATTGCAGAATAAAGAGAAACGAACAAGGTTAGGCTTAGTTAGGTGAACATGCATTAGTCTGCAATTTTGCATTACTAGATGCACTATTAAACTTACCCTGTGACACCGCTCATTGGAAATAATTCCCCTAACTCTAACAGCACTGTGAAAATGATATATCAAACCTAACAACAATACTGTGCGAATGCACGAGGAATTATACGTACATAGAGTCAGTGCTACTGAATGTGTTAGAAATCCAGTTATGCTATAACAGCACAATTATTTGAGACTAATGGATTAATGGATAGTTTTATTTGTTCTTACGAGGAATCTAGGATGTTAGTGATATTCAGTGACTTGCGAAATAACAGTAATGCAAAGTGAGTGGGTCCATAGTTAACTTTTCCCAGTTTTGAGATCAGTAATTGAAGGAAGAATCCATTAAGGGTGGTAAACACAAATTCATTACCTGGTGAGAGGTTGCAAGACGGTGCCTGCTATTGCTAGGCGAAACTGGTAAAATGGTGCTGCACTGAAAACCTCTTTGTGATTGCTTTAGCTGCTAGCAGATATCCGTGGTCGCCTGTAGTTTGTATTGTAGATGGTTAATGGTCTGCAAACACTTACCAAATATGATACTATGTGGTTATAAAAAGTGGAAGGCAAGCTTTCTTCAAAAGTAAAAGTTGTGTCTCAGGCAACTGCAGCAATCTGCAAGTGACCAAACCAAAAGTCATAAGGAGGTTTTTGGTGCAACACGCTCTTTGTGGCTAATCTCAAACAGTGACAGCCAGCAACAACTCACCAAACCATCAGGGAATACACGCCGCTTCTGTAGCGTAAGCTAGTTGACTGGGATGTCCATTAACAAACACCTGTCAGCTACAAAGCAATGTGCTACAAGCAGATCACTTCCAACTTGGATGGGGCTTTACTCTTCACTCTTAACCAAGCTTAGTACTGATAGCTTAGCATAACTAAGTAGGGTACCTTGTTAACCTTAGCAGATATGTTAGCTAAACCACTGAAAATAGCAACTTCAATAAGTCCTCATAGCATGTAGCAGCTCATGTTTGACATTGCCTTTTAATGCAAAACACCAGAATAAGACTGCTGAGGTTAAACGTAGGAGGAACTGATGTAGGGTAACAGTCGGGAAACACAGCTTCAAATCTAGGCAAATAATTTACTTCGCAGAGTTCACAAAACTAGTCAAAGCTTATTATTGTCCAGGTTACATTTTTTGGCACCGCTAAGAAGCAGCATATAAAAACCACAGCTCTGAGAAATCCTGTAGTGAATTTGTGATATGAAAGCACATTGGCACACTAGGGACTGACGTGGCGGAACCAAAGGCTGCCGTATCGAGCCTGCTGAAGATTGTTTTCTTTTCTTTTCCTTTTTTCTTTTTTTAAATGTGTGTATCACTTGGTTGAGAGGAGCGGGGCAGAAAGGGGCCACTGTGCTGAGACAACCGGTGATGTGATGCCATGAAAAAAACCGCCACAACACGGCCATAAAGCAGACTAATGTGTCCAGAGTGGCTTAAAAAAAAAGCGAGGCAGACAGCAAAAACAGAGCAGAGACCCTTATCCATCATAGCATACAGGCAGCAAAACAACTTTACACCATCTGTGCAAAGAGCCTGCCCTGACACCAGGTAGCTGGAGCTTACGTCAAAAGCAATGACCGAAAATGCTATGTCACCCTACAGTGCAAATACAGAAACTTTCTGTGTGCGCATGAAACTTCTACAATCAAGTAATGAAATAATGCACCTAATGATGAATGAGACTAAAACATGTAAACACTAAAGCAAACTACGGCCTATTATTTTTGAGAAACCAGTGCACATTGACACAAGAGCATGTCTCAACAGGGGTGGGTGTCTTTTTACTATTTATATATACATATATATGAATTATGAGTTCATCTTTTGTGGCAAACATAATTACTGCGTGCAACACAAACACACACTAACAGTGTTGTAATCTCAGGCAGTAGCAGCAGAGGCCCTCATCTATCCTCTGGCGCCATGTGAACATGCAGTTTGATAGCCATGGAGGAGCCCGAAGGGAGAACAGGAGGGGAGGTCTGATGTTAGGTACGTTTTGAGCCAGTGATATTTTTCAAGTTTACTTTTAGTCGTCCTGTTGGCTCATTGCTTAATGCAACTTAATAATTTATTACGTCTCTATTGCAAAATATCCTTTTATTCATTTTTCACCAGGCTTTTTTTTTCTCAACACAAATTAAGCATGCACCTTACAAGACAACTTGGCATGTAAGGTCTACTCAAGAAAGAAGTCATAACCCAATGCAGCCTCAGGTTATTATACAACATGATTCATTAGCATAAAGCTTTAGACATGTTGCAGGTTTTTTTAATGTATTGTGCTTTGTTTTGCTTGTGTGCTTATGCATAATCATAGAGCATGTGTTGGGGCAGGAGCTGCTACATGGCAGTGCAGCATACAGGACCGTATCTGATAAGACTGCCAACTCTGCACCGGTAATACCAACTTGTAGCCTGGTCACAAATGTTCCCTTGCAAAAACATGTTTTGATTATGATTAAATACATCCCAAACACACAGCTGTGTTATGTATGCAATCTCAGTTGTAGTTAACTGTTTGTTATTATGGCCGACTGTTGTCTTGGAACAGATCAGGCAGTGCTTTGAGCTTGGCACTAGCTTAATTGCATGCATGAGCATCAGTCTCAAAAGAGAATAACTGGCTATGCAATAAATTGGCTGTGTTCTCAAAAATACAGGCGTGTGCTAACAGGAAAAATCACACAAAAAAAGTTTGTGCTTTTGGCGTGATACTTGTTTATTTGCTCTTTTGTACTGTGTGTCTGCTCCTGATCGCACCAATTTCACCGTTTCCAAGCACTCGAACTCCTCCTTAAAAGACTATCTCATTATTTCACTGCAGCATATACAGCTATGGTAAAAAGAAAGTGCAGGCTAAACAACAACATGACATATTGCACTGTGACATTATTTATGTAGCAAAAACTAAGTCATAATGCAGAAGCAGTGTGTGAAAAGCGAAACACACCCCGTGATTCAATATCTTATAGAGCTAAGTTTAGCAGCAATAACTTGAAGCAATCATTTCCTGTGTGACGTTATCAGCCTCTCACACCATTGTGAAAGCACTTTGTTGTTTTGTAGCTGTGCTTCAGTTCATTGAGGTTTGAAGGCATTTGGGGAGGACCTTAAGAGGACTGTTGAGGTCTGGACTTTACTGGATCCCGCCCCCCCCCTTTTCAGCCATTATGTTGTAGATTTGCTGCTGTGCCTACTTGCATGAAATGAGCCAATTTTCAGTCATAACATTACACTTTGGTATACAGAGAACTTCATGGTTGACTCAATGAATGCAAGGTTTGCAGGTATTAAATAAAAAATGATAATATGTCATGTTTTGGTGCATCGGATACCCCTGTGTAGGTGTTTTGCATTAATCATAACAATTAATGTCAGTCCAGGTTCAGCATTGCATGTGACCGATGTGCACTCAGGACGAAAAGTCCCAAAAATGGGCCGGTTAGGGTCAAGGTTAGGGGTTCGGATGTGATCGTGTTTAGGGTTATGCTAATGGGGTTGGGGTTAAGGTTTTGTGTGTTGGCGTTTCCACGTCGCAAAACTATGACAGCACAACAACGTGACTGGTCACTTGCAATGTTGAACCTGGATGAACATCAGCTTTGATGATCCAGGAACAACACCAACGCACAGATATCAGATCATGCATCATATTTTATATCTTATCTGAGGTTGCATTTAGCTAATGTAATGATTAGATTACTTGTGATTATGTCCGTATGCACGACTACTGAAAGTAACAGATACAGTGAATTTGTCCTGCATTAAAGACATTTTATATCATATTTGAATAGAAATATTTTTCCACCTTGGCCCTAGTTACCTTTGCAACACTGTCATTCATCTCACCTGCAGACTAAGTGTTTTACCAGCAAAGAAAATCTTCACCTTTGTTATAGTCATAATTGTCCCAGAAGCTTTTACATTATCTGAAAGCAGCCATGCATTAGAGGATAAACAGACTGAAACACACATAACGCACACACAAAATGAATATTCATCTACGGCGTGTTGACACCAAGATAACACCGGGTCGGGCCTGTCAGATTGTCTCCTGGCCTTTTCCTGCGCAGACAACAGTTTTCTTCAGATAATGATGGAGACGCAGCAGAATACCTGTTTGATTTTAACCCCATCTGACACAACCTTTCAATGTAATGGGAGGTGCTTACCTTGTAAGCTCAGATTTCCGCACCCTTGGGTTGGGTGTTCGCAACCTTAAGTGCTTTTAATGAGGTTTTGAAATATCAAAAGTGGAGGCAAGGCAAAGGGAACTGCTCGGAAACAGAGCCTTGAATACAAAGTACCACACAAAAGTTGCTCTTTAACCAGGGGTTCATTAAACCGAAGGAAACGGGTGGAAAAAGTCAACTCGAGACGACTCATGCGAGACACAATCGAGCCGTCAGTGAAAAAGCACGTTTGGTCGGAAGCGAGCCGAGCACGCTCACATGGAAACATTGTTTCCCTCCCGTAAAAAAAACAAGCAGTGCTATTTCTGGGAGACTAATGGATATCTGGGTGATCTGAGTGCTCTTACTTGATGTTGTCCAGGCAACCAGAGTCTGGTTTCAAGATGGCTGTGTGATGGAACATCTTGTAGAGAGCGATGCCCAGAAAGATCACGTTGAGCTGGAAGAGAGAAACAGACGGATTTTTACGGGGGCAAGGAGAAGGGAAAGCGAGAGAGGCAGAGAAGAATGGGAACAAAGCCTGTGTGTTTCCTGTTACTGGTCCATTCATTTTAAATCAGGGCACTTTGTAGCACAAAGCTGGAACAGTGCGGCCAGACTCGGTTTCCCACTTTGCCAAACAGAGCGCAAAATCCTATGAAACCTCTATCGGACTAAACAGGGATCGGTGAGACGAGGCAGCTGCACAGTTGCACGGCGGAGCCTTTCATCTGACTTATTCACACTTGTCTCATCATATTCACACTTACAGGCAGCCATGGGGAATTACCGTCCTTTCCTCTTTGCATTTGGAAAAATAAATAAATGAAATTTGTGCAAACGAGAAAACTTTGAGCCTTTACGGCATCGCAAGCTGCGGCAGACTTCAATGGTTATTCTTACTTCCTGTTTTTCCTGTTTCTGTTCAAAAAGCAGACAAGTAAATAAAACTTAAAAAGAAAGTCAAGCACATCTCAGCGAGTTGAACTTTTGCTCCCGTGTTTGTCAAACACGCTGTGATTACAGAGGGAAATTAATTGGCGGTCTTAGATCCGACTACTCGATTTAAGAAAAGAAAAAAAAAAAACCCACATTAAGCAGATCGACTCTGGTCTGTCTCTTTATTCGCATTTTCTCTGTTGAGTCAGAACAATAATAAGAAAATGAGTCAGTTCTGGTCACGTGGGTTTGCTCAGAATGGCTCCCTCCAAATTACAGCAATTAGGTGGATTTCATTGGCGATTTGCAGGTAGCGTTCAAGCTGACGTAAGACGAGGAGAATTAAAAATTGCACCTTTGTCCAAACACTCGCCAAATTTTCAGGGGCAGAACTGGAAGCGAGCCGAGGCCTTCTCTCCAACGAGATGGATATTCTTGTTTGTAAATCGGAGTAGAGAAAGGAGTGAGTCATGAGGCACGCAGAGATGCATTGTGAATGATTACGCCAAACTGGAGCGTGAAAGTGAATTATGCATGTTTGGATTTGACAGCCAGATCGCGGCTGGGCAGCGAGAGATGCGTTTCTCGGGAAATAATCCTATTGGACAAGCATATTGTGACTTCTTTTTTTTTCTTTGTTGTTAAAGATATCTATAAGTTTTGTGCCAATGCCGGATATTTAGCGTCATGGCTGACTGGTGTTTTTGGAAAATTAGGAGCGCATCTCCTGGTGACAAAGCAGTATTTTAGTGCTCGGCATTAGTGTAAGTACTGAGATGAATGCGGGTCTTACATCAGATTTGGATCAATAAATGAGCTGTTTTATTGGGAGAAAATGAGGCCCTGTCCTAGTTGGGAAAGGCACAAAAAGCGTGTGTGTGTGTGCTTGCATACCACATACTGTACGCATCTATGTCCGGGGCTGAGTGTGTGCCTGCGAGGAAGAGATGGTTGGGGAAAAAAAAGGTAGTGGAGTAGGACTTGGAACGGGAACAAAATCAATCATAATCGCAGTGCGGATTACTCCAGCGCTGCATACTGAGCAGAGTTCGCTCTCTTTGTCCCTCTCCCTCTATCGCTCTGTATCTCACTTCCCCCACTCCCCCCCAAAATCGTCTCAGCCGGCGACTGCGGCAGGGTGACAAACTCCAATATATTCTCTACACCCCTCATTTGTTTTTCTGGACGGCTCCGTGCCCGGCGGTGGCATGTATGCTCAACCGGGCAGAGAGAAGAGGGCGATGGGAGCTAGGAAAAAAAAATTAAAAAGGGATCTCTGTGGACCATTTAAGCGACGACCCGCAGGCTAAGTAGGGTTAATGAGCAGAGGGGGGAGAGGTAAGGAGGGTTCGTGACGCTTACCATAATTATCAAGGTTGCTGGTCCTATGAAACTCCAAATGAAGTAGGTGTCCAGGCGAAGCCAGCAACTGAAAGAGACAGAAATAAGGTGAGCGGTGAGGGGGATTTGAAGTAAGAGAGAGGACGGGTGAATATGAGTTGAGTGGGCGGTTGGGGGGGATTTGAGGTTATAGCCCTATGCTCCTGCGCAGAGGATATACATCAAGTGGGAGTCTGAGAGTGACACAGAGGAATGGGTACTTCAAATCACAGATTGCCGCAAGTGGCCTAAAGAATTACGAGCACTGGAATTCGGAGGAAAGGGGAGCTTTCAGTGCCAGTGACAGCCATAACGACGTCCTTTCATTGCCAAAACATGTGCACAATTCAAAGTGAGAAAAGTCACGAGCACGTTATGGATAAACCCGCGAAGGAAGGTTGGAAACTACCAGAGTTTAGTTCTTTTCTTGTTCCACTCTGATTAAATCGCCATTAAGGATGATAATATATGGAGATTTAATTAGTTCTCAATTGAATCCTAACTGTATCACTCCAAAGGAATTGGATTGACCTTGACCCCGACAGACACGGCCGCACGCACGGTCCTGAAGCTCTCAACAAAGTGCCTTACGTGTTCGTGTTAAACCGCGGCGACTCCGTGCGGGACTGTTATAATTATGTCAATAATGAGATAAAGCTCTTTCCCGACCCCACGCTTCACATCAAAACATTGCGGGAAGTCAATCGTCCTCTCGGCTGAAGAGAACCGAACACTGAGCAGGAGCAGAAGGTGACAGCGCTCCTTAAAAATGGCAAAAGAAAAGATACAGGAAAAAAAAAAACATGATTCATGACCTGTGGTTGAATTATTAATCTTTTAATCTCCGCCGCAGCAGCAGATAGACGGCTCCATTTTTGGCCACTGCAAGATTACAGTCCATACAGCACTGTTGTCATTCGGGCTGACGGGGAGGGGAAAATGGAAGCGGCCGAGAATTCGTTTCAAATCCATTGAAGGTGGAGGTGAAAAATACACTTAAAAAAATGTTTTTTTGTTTTCTTATATGGAGCGAAGGCGATGTCAAAGTCCGTTTTTATTTTTTCATCCAAAAAACCCCCCAAAATTGAGCATCTACAGTATTTACAGCAGTGCCCACAGATTTAGCTGCCACTTTGTGTGCATTTCTTTTTTCTTCCTGTCTGAAAAAAATTTAATAAATATATCCGCAGACAATACTTTGAAACAAGAGAAAATACTGTATAACAAGTGACAGGACAAAAATCGACTGCTCCTTTGCTATTACCGGGACTTGATATGTCTCCCCTTCGCTCGTATCAATGGATGCGACGAGGCATCACAGAAAAACACATATGGACAGATAAAGCGGCGAGCAAACAAAAGCCTAACAACACACGGAGAACTCTGGCAGCTCATCAAAGCGCACGCTCTGAATGACTCTGTTATAAATTAAACTGAAGCTTCCATTGTTCCTTTCGCCTTCTTCTTCAGATCATAGAACGATTTAAAGACTCGGTAGGCGGCAGGAGCTGCAGGCTGTCATTTTGTTTTTGTTTTTTCCTTCCCTTTCCTCCTCTTACCTATCCTTCTCCACTTATGTCATGCTCGTGTTAGGCTTTCGGAGCAGTTTTATCTTCCCCTCCTGGTGTGCTAGTTTTTGCACTACACCTACAGTAAGTGAGCAATAACAAACAAACACAAAAAAGTGCCGGTGCGCCATTTAAAAAAGAACCCATGTTCATGCCAACAGCCTGTTCTGTTGCCACGCCGTCCTTAGAGTCAAGGAGCCTTACTCTTATTCCCTGCAGCAGGGACAGTAAGCCAATGACCAAACAGGTGAGAAAAGGCATGTGAGATACGTAGGCTAAGAAGATGAGTCAAATCATCTCTTCGGTGTGAAGTTCTGCAGCACTTTTTGCCTCAAAGAGTGATCTGTAACTTTCTGGAGTCAACAGACCTCCCACCGCATCCAAATCACATGACCTACTTAAAATAAGCTTAACTAAAATAAGCAGCTGAGCTAAACTATGTACCAGTTCTGCATCCTAACAGTGCAGTTATGTAAGATTTGATAATGAAACCATTAAACCAGGGGTGTCAAACTCCAGGCCTCGAGGGCCGGTGTCCTGCAGGTTTTAGATGTGTCCTTGATCCAACACAGCTGATTTAAATGGCTAAATGACCTCCTCAACATGTCTTGAAGTTCTCCAGAAGTCTGATAATGAACTAGTGTGTTGACCCAGGGTGAGATCTAAAGCCTGCAGGACACCGGCCCTCAAGGCCCCTTGTGTTAAACTATTTCAAATAATACATATAAAAGCAAAGCTGCTCTGAATCAGACAGTGTTATGTGCTTTGGATCATCTCAACAGATATTTGGGTTTCAAATATTTGTTTTAATTTGATATTAAAGAGCACCGTTTGCTACCAGTTGGTTGGTGTTAAGCTTATTTTCAATTTGATGCCACAAATTTAGGCCAGCAGTATCGAGCTATCAAGAAACTAACTTTTCTATTTATTTATTTATTTTTAAAAAGGTACCTCATGAAGACGTGCAATTTTCTTTGTGAAAAAAAATACAGAAACACATGTAGGGGAGTTTACTTTGTGCCGTCGATGTTATGTAAGCTGCCTTTGGCTGCAGATGGATTTGCATGTTTGCCACACGTTATACAACGGACACCCTTCCTGATGCAACCCTCCCAATTATCTAGCCTTGGGATGGGAGTGGGAGTTGCGACTCTCTGATTTTCAGATTTAAATCGCTGATCTTTTGCATGCAAGACAAACGTATCATTTACTACACCACGGAGCTCCTCGTATGGTCCATGTGAAGTACATATAACAAAGTCTAAGCAAACCCTTCCACATCCAGTTCTAGGTAAGCTAGCCTCATGTACCTTTTTCACTGGCACCCTGACATTGTTAACAACACAACAACAAAAAAATAAGCTGAAATAATTAATAATAAAGGCACTGGATTGGGCCATATTTGAGGCCAGATTAAGGCCCTTTAACCTTTTCTCTGCACGTTCAATGGGATGAAAACGATTAACCAACTACTGTATGTAGATTACTGAATTACTTTAGCTAAGCACTGAGTCTACCCCGTAAATTTCGAGGTGGTGTGATGTATTACTTTCATTAAACTGGAGAAATCACACAGACTCGTGTCCTTATTTGCTGACCATTAAAGCAGCCTCCCTGGACGAGACGAGGGTTAACGTCTTGCTCAAGGGCACATTTGGAGAGTAATTGCTCAAGAAGCTGGATGGAAACCCTACTCAGATCAGCTTTTCCTTTTCAACCTTGGACAGCTAGAATTCAAAAGCTAGCTTGACCTTCAGGCTGCTGTAGCGATTTTTTTTTTGTTGAGTTAATATGAATCGCTCGAGATCGCTTCATTCATCTGCGGCGCCTGGTTCACAGCAACTTGTTGGATATCTCGACTCAAACGACACCACCCACGATAACGCCACCGCGGTACCAAAAATCAATTTGCAGCAGGACCACGCGCCGTCCCCCACCTCCTGATCTTCGCCACGTGTCGCGCCTCGTCCCTTCCCCTCATCCTTCAATGGCTGCGTATAATTGTTCCACCGGTGGCAGGCTTTAATTATTCACATGATGCCAAGGCTCAGGCGGTGGCAGCTATCGCCTCATCCATCACTAAGAACTATTGCTCCGCCAATCTACAAATGCGCCGTCTACCAGTTGCTTATGTGTGGAAGCCTATGTGTGCGAGCCGTTTATGATAAACATCAGAGAAGCAAACTGCTGATGCTGGTCTTCATTATTTTCAGATCGGTTTGAGATTAACTGAGAGGAATGGAGAGTGATCCTCCGCTTGGCACCGCTTTATAGACCGTGCTGCATTTCAGAGAGAAGAGCCAGGGAACCGTATCTTCTGCAGCTCGTGAAGGAAAACACAAAACGGGAGTCTCCGTCACTCCTCATCATTTTGTTAATCTCCTCTCTCTCTGCCAGTCTCCATGTTCACACTCCCTCTCGCCTCCCCGCTGAACCTTTCTCGTCCTCTTTGGTAATTTCGCTTAAGACGCCAACTACAACAGCTCGCCGTTTGCTCGGCTGAACTTTCCCAGAGTTAGCATTTTTTCACTGTCAAAACAATGTCCATTCAGCAAAAAAAGGGGAAACGCACTCAGCTTAAGTAACAGCTGAAGGATGAGTGATAGCTATTGGAGTGTCATCTGTGAGATTATTAAAGCTCTTCAAACCAGCGCAAACACATACAAGGTGCTGGCAGTGTTTTTCATCACAGTCAGTCTCCTCATATAGGGCTTTCATCGTTTCTTCAGGTTAGCGTTAGCGCGGTATTGGATCCAACATGCAGCATGAACATGTGGAAATGTTCTATATTGTGGGTTTTCACCTAGAAAACGTTGGGGGAGTCACAACAGATACAATAATTCACAAAAAGGAACTGAAAAAAAAATGATGCATAGATAAAAAGAAATAAAAAAATATCCCAAGGCTTTGATCCCTGGTATAGAAAATTGGCTTTTGATAGAGGCTTAAGATCAGAGGCCCTGATATAAGCATTTTGGCCAGCTTCTTCTTGTTCTTTTTCCTCTTTTGGAGCCACATATTTGGAAGAGAGGATGGAGTTAGCAGCAAAGGCTGCCAAGCTTGGTTAGCAAGCCATACCTGTTAATCAGTGCAAGTCAAAGACTTAAAATAACATTTCACTCACTTTTGGATGGGCTGTTAGTAGATTTAACCGTCCAGCAGGCTACATCTAAAAGGCTTAAAAAACCAACAACACCAGACCAACAGGGTCTAGTTGAATTATATAAGATGACCATATCTCCTTGTGTCTGTGCGGGGTTTCTCTGGGTGCCACTGCCTCCTCTCACAATGGCAATTTTGTTTATATAGGGCATTAAATTATATGTAAACTCATATAATGTAAACTATGTAAAAGCTTAACACAGAAGATAAACATAAAAACTACTGCATGAGAGCTACTGAGTGCAGGCCTGTGTGAGCAAGAAGGTCTGTATTTGAATGTTGGCAGAGGTGTAATTGATCTCAGGTCAGCAGCTTGTTTTAAAGAACAGGACCACTGATGACCTGAGAAGTCAAACAGCGAACTTCAAGAATGTGGTGGAGGGGCAGACAAGTCCAAATACATGCAGTTAGTGGGGTTTGGTTAACTGGTGATTCATATAGGTTTGATTTTGAGTTGTCTGCCTCTGTGTGTTAGCCCTGCGACAGAGTGGCAACCGGTCCGGGGCATTCCCCGCCTCTCGCCCTATGACAGCTGGGATAGGCTCCACTGGATTGGCTTGGATACGCGGGAGAAACAAGAGGAGGATAGATGGAAATACTCACTGCACATGATATACAGCCGTCATATTATGGCGGAAATTAGCTATACAGCTCAAACCCATTTTGTCTACGATGTAAAATCAAGTGTTTCCCATGTCAAGTTCTGGATTTTATGGGTCGAGTAACTTTGGAAACGACACTTTTTGGCTTCATTTTTCAGCCCCGGAGGTTTTACGACTTGGAAAACACCCACATCTGTCATGCCTCTAGTGTAAAAATGAGTCTTTGTATTAAGAGCTGCAGTAGTTTTAAAGCTTAACATTAAATAAAATTGCAAAATACACTGATCTGGATGTGTAATGGGTTTTATTTTTATATTGATTTTATCCCCAGAAAGACCTGCAGAATATTGCCCTCTCTTAGAAGCTGCCCATATACAATAAATGATTAAATCCAAGCAAGAGTATTTTCCATTATGGTCTTAAAAAGATGTCAAAATATTATCTTTGTGGGAATTTTGTAAAGAAAGAAAATCCAATTCATCTGAAGAAATGTGGCAGTTTTGCTCACACGCTCGCTCCACATGTACTCACACTCGGTCGGTGCCGTAGCTGCGGTAGTCCACCGCAGCTGAAACGGCCACAATTAGCGCTGGGACCCCGTAGCCCACCAGATAGAAGTAGCGTCGCCGTGAGTGCTCGCTCTCAAACACCTCCACCAGCATGATGTAGAGCTGCACGCCCTCTAGGAACATCCACGTGAACGCTGCCAGGAAGAAGAAGTGGAGGAGGGCGGCGAAAACAGCACACGCAATCTGGGAAGGTTTAGTGGTGACAGAGAGAAAGAGAGAGTGGTAAATAGGGAATGGAAAAAACAAAACAAAAAAAACAGACAAGCTTCACTCGCTCTTGGCTGTTTTACCAATTTCCTGAAAGATTTAAATGTCACGCTGCAAGGCACAGCAACTGTGGCAAGGTGTGCCGGCAAACGAGCAGCGTTTTTTGACCTCTCCGTGCTCGTACCTTTCTAACAATTAGCATTGCTAAGCTTTGTTTGGCTGAAGTGACTGGATGTTTGCCTGTGTGACTGGCAGAGGAAACGCTGCAGCTACTGAGCCCATGTGCTCTTGTTTGCTGCAGCTGGCATGGATGAAAGAGAGATATGAGGGAGTGAAGTCAGCAGTCCAAGAGCCATTTGAAGCAACGCTACGGCCAGGTACGAGCAGATAATGTGCTTCCAAACTTTCCGAGCTGACAAGAGAGCTGTCCGGACCAGATGTGGAAGGCATAGATTGTCATTCGCATGTATGCACACGCCCACGCGCTTCTTAACAATAATAAGATACAGTACTTACATAGACTCATCTAATCATTGGCACAGTTGACCATAACTAGTGTATTTTGTCACTGAAATGGATTCAATTAAATTACTAAAAGGTTGAGTGGACATTAATTGCGGTCCAGGAGAGCGATCTTACAGCTGAGCTGTGAATCGTGCCCATAAAATGTTATAGAAGCAGGGGGGGCTAAAAGCATTATCTTCAACTTCACAGGGAGTTGAGCTAAACTAGGAGGCTTATTTTAGTTCTGATAGCTTTAATGATATTTAAAGAGCAAAATATCAATCTGCTTTGATTGCTCGAGGCTAGAAAGTAAAGGCACTTCCTTTCTTTCTCTGCGAGACATCATCATTTTTCTGCACTTGTAACCCAGCCGTGAACTAGCATGGGAGGACGGGCTATTATGATAAAAACAATGACAATAAATAGATCAAATTATTACGAAGACTGTTTGCAATAATGTGCATTCCAGTGTCTGTGCCCCAGGAACGCAAAGCTAACTGCGTACTCTGGCTCATTAGCAAGTAGAAATGCCGTGATTGCGAGAAGCTGTGGGAGGAAATTAAAAAAAATCCCTCTGCCAACCTGTACACGTGTAATGACTCTGCATTTGTCTCCCGTATGAGTGTCGAGAACACACGCACACTTGAAGATGACTGTACAGTGACAGCAAGCCTCCACCTGCTACCCCAGCTGAGCTCTTGAGGAAAGTAATGCCATCCAAACTACAGTTATTATACTAGGAGGAGGTTTAGTGCATTGAACAGCTTAATCCAGATTAGTCTGAAGTGTTTGCAAATTGAAAAACTGCAACAGGAGGCTGGTTGTGGGGGTGAATGGATGAATTCACGCTGGCGAATGCATATAATATAACAGCGATCGAGATATGAGAATGTGACAGCGAGTTGGCAGGTGTTGCTGTGCGAGTATGTGAGTGCACTTTCAAGTATGTGTTTGCTTTGGCACAACCATAGGTGGGAGCATTTGTTGAATAAGAAGCATCCGATTCTTTTATTTCGCTGTTTCGTCTCACCGAGCCCGGCAGAGGCTGAAGAGTCCGCGGCCACTGACACTCGCTGGGAAGCAGCACTCACAGCACCACAGGACGCCAAAGGTTATATTTTCTCAAAACATTTTAGGCTCTTAAAACTGGGAAGAAGACAGTGGACGTACCTCACAGGCGATTCATCGAGGCAATTTAAATGCATCGCTCCGGTTTTACAATAAAAAGAGTGGCTTTTAGCTGTTTGAATCACTTCTACCTGAATGCCTCCATGGACTAGGAGATGGCAGACACATTCGCATCAGGCAGGTTTTCCACTTTTAAAGGTACGTCTATCGGCAAAACCGATATACTGAGGAAACTGGTTTCAGTGTTTGAGGAATTAGATGACCTTTTGTTCATAAGAAATTCTGGGAACAACAACACCAACAGTCATCTCAGCGTGATTTATACTATAAGGCAAATACTCCAGAGAAAGCACTTGGTGAGAGGTGGGGAGGAAGAACTTCCTTTAACAGGAAGAGACATCTAAGAGAACAAGAATGAGGGAAGAGCAGGCATTTGATGTTGCACCTCAGTGCTCATAAGACCCTTATGAAAAAGGACACCGAGGGAACAGTTTACCCTGCCCGGGATAGGGTCACCGGGGCCCCGCCCTGGAGCCAGGCTCGGGGAGGGTGCCCGAGGGCGAGCGTCTGGTGGCCGGGCCTTAGTCCATGGGGCCCGGCCGGGCACAGCCCGAAGAGGAGACATGGGCCCATCCTCCCGCAGGCCCACCACCCGCAGGAGGCGCCATAGGGGTCGGGTGCATTGTGTGTCGGGTGGCGGCCAGGAGCGGAGGCCCTGGCGGACTGACCCCCGGCTGCCAAGACTGGCAATAGGGACATGGAATGTCACCTCTCTGGTGGGGAAGGAGCCTGAGTTAGTGCGTGAGGTTGAGAGGTACCGGCTAGATATAGTCGGGCTCACCTCTACACATGGCTTGGGCTCTGGAACCAGTCTCCTGGAGAGGGGCTGGACTCTGTCTCAGTCTGGAGTTGCCCCTGGTGAGAGGCGGCGGGCTGGGGTGGATATCCTAATATCCCCTCGGCTTGCTGCCAGCAGCGAGACCTGGAGGGGCGTGATTGGGAGGAACGGCCTCCCTGATCTGAACCCGAGCGGTGCTCTGTTATTGGACTTCTGTGCTAACCACAGCTTGGCCATAACGAACACCCTGTTCGAACATAAGAGTGTCCATAAGTGCATGTGGCACCAGGACGCTCTAGGCCGTAGGTCGATGATCGATTTTGTAATCGTATCAGCAGACCTGCGACCATATGTTCTGGACACTCGGGTAAAGAGAGGGGCTGAGCTGTCAACTGATCACCACCTGGTGGTGAGTTGGATCAGGTGGCGGGGGAGGACGCTGGACAGACCTGGTGCACCTAAACGCGTAGTGAGGGTGTGCTGGGAACGTCTAGCAGAGGCCCCAGTCCGCGAGATCTTCAACGCACACCTCCGGCAGAGCTTCAACAGCATTCCGAGGGAGACCGGGGACATTGAGTCCGAATGGACCATGTTCAGCGTCTCCATTGCCGAAGCTGCTGCATTGAGCTGCGGCCGCAAGGTGGTGGGTGCCTGCCGTGGTGGTAATCCCCGAACCAAATGGTGGACACCAGAGGTGAAGGGAGCCACCAGGCTGAAGAAGGAGTCCTATCGGGCTTGGTTAGCCTGTGGGACTCCGGAGGCAGCCGACAGGTATCGACAGGCCAAGCGGAATGCGGCTCGGGCAGTGGCTGAAGCAAAAACTCGGGTGTGGGTGGAGTTCGGAGAGGCCATGGAAAAAGACTTTCGGACTGCCTCGAAGAGATTCTGGCAAACCGTCAGACGTCTCAGGAGGGGAAAGCGGTGCTCTACCTGCACTGTGTATAGTGCTGGCGGAGCGCTGCTGACGTCGACTGAGAAAATTGTCAGGCGGTGGAAGGAATACTTCAAGGACCTCCTTAATCCCACTGACACGTCTTCCGAGGAGGAAGCAGAGTCTGGGGATGAGGGGAATGACCCGCCAATTTCCGGGGGCGAGGTCACTGAGTCAGTTAAACAACTCCTTGGTGGCAGAGCCCCTGGTGTTGATGAGGTCCGCCCCGAGTTCCTGAAGGCTCTGGACGTTGTAGGGCTGTCCTGGTTGACACGCCTCTGCAATGTTGCGTGGAGATCAGGGGCAGTACCTGTGGACTGGCAGACCGGGGTGGTGGTCCCCATCTTTAAGAAAGGGGACCGGAGGGTGTGTTCCAACTACAGGGGGATCACACTCCTCAGCCTCCCTGGGAAAGTCTATGCCAGGGTGCTGGAAAGGAGAGTTCGTCCGTTAGTGGAACCTCGGATACAGGAGGAACAATGCGGTTTTCGTCCTGGTCGCGGAACACTGGACCAGCTCTTTATCCTCTCCAGGATACTTGAGGGTGCATGGGAGTTTGCCCAACCAGTCTACATGTGTTTTGTGGACTTGGAGAAGGCATTCGACCGTGTCCCTCGGGGTGTCCTGTGGGAGGTGTTGCGGGAATATGGGGTGTCTGGCCCATTGCTACGGGCCATTCGATCCCTATACAACCGTTGCAAGAGCTTGGTTCGCATTGCCGGCAATAAGTCGGACTCGTTCCCGGTGGGTGATGGGCTTCGCCAGGGCTGCCCTTTGTCTCCGGTTCTGTTCATAATTTTTATGGACAGGATTTCTAGGCGCAGCCAAGTGGCGGAGGGCTTTCGCTTTGGTGGCCTCAGAATCTCATCTCTGATTTTTGCAGATGATGTGGTTCTGTTGGCTTCATCCGGTGAAGGCCTCCAGCTCGCACTGGAACGGTTCGCAGCCGAGTGTGAAGCAGCGGGAATGAGGATCAGCACCTCCAAATCTGAGGTCATGGTTCTCAGCCGGAAAAGGGTGGAGTGCCCACTCCGGGTCGGGGATGAGTTCCTGCCCCAAGTGGAGGAGTTCAAGTATCTCGGGGTCTTGTTCGCGAGTGATGGGAGAAGGGAGCCGGAGATCGACAGACGGATTGGGGCTGCAGCTGCAGTAATGCGGACGTTGCACCGGTCCGTCGTGGTGAAGAGGGAGCTGAGTGTAAAAGCGAAGCTCTCAATTTACCGGTCGATCTACGTCCCTACCCTCACCTATGGCCACGAGCTGTGGGTAGTGACCGAAAGAACGAGATCGCGGATACAAGCGGCAGAAATGAGCTTCCTCCGAAGGGTGGCTGGCCTCTCCCTTAGAGATAGGGTGAGAAGTTCGGCCATCCAGGAGGGGCTCAGAGTAGAGCAGCTGCTGCTCCACATCGAAAGGAGCCAGCTGAGGTGGTTCGGGCATCTGACAAGGATGCCCCCTGGGCGCCTCCTGGGTGAGGTGTTCCAGGCATGTCCCAACGGGAGGAGGCCCCGGGGCAGACCCAGGACACGCTGGAGAGATTATATCTCTCGGCTGGCCTGGGAACGCCTTGGTATTCCCCCGGACAAGCTGGAGGAGGTGGCTGGGGAGAGGGATGTCTGGGCCTCTTTGCTTAGGCTGCTGCCCCCGCGACCCGACCCCGGACAAAGCGGATGACGATGGATGGATGGATGGACCTCAGTGCTTCAGTGATAATGTGAAGTATCAGTCGTAAGAGTTCATGTCCGCAGAAACACACTGGCTTTGAGCCACCCTTCATTTCTTTATATTTTACAAGGAAAATGGGAAATGGCTGAAGTGACTTACTGAAACATACATGGAAATAGAATATACAAGGCAAAAGCAGAGTCTATAACTCTATAAAGCCTGAAAGTCAATATCTGGTATGGCTCACCTTTATTCATCAGAATCAGAATCAGAATACTTTATTGATCCCTGGGGGAAATTATTTTTTGTTACAGTGCTCCATTTTAAACCAACATTAAGACAAGACAGACAATACGCTAACTAAGAATAGTACAATATATACATATATATACATACATACATACATAAGTCACTTATAAATAAATATTTGGAAAAGAAACATGCGTAGTTGTAGCAGCAAACTGTGTGTTAAGTGGATGCGTTGTACAGGGAGATGGCCACAGGCAGGAATGATTATTCTTCAACAGAGAAGGAAAACTATTAGTCAGTTAGGTCAAAGCTCTTCTGTTGTCTGTCCAAATGATCCCACACTGCTTCAATAATGTTGAGGTCCAAGCTATGGGGAGGCCAATCCATGACTGATAGATATATCAGTCATAGTTCCAGAGATAGTTCCAGTTTCTATCCAGGTATGCTTTTCCTGCATTGGCTGTGTTTTTAGGATCAGTTCCAGATGATCCCAAAATTTTGGGATGCTTTCCAGATAGCATTTTAAGTTGCAGATGGATTTCTACATTCATAATTCTATTAGTTTTTTTAGAAGATGCCTAACAACACCGACGGAAATCATAACAGAGCCTACATCTTGTTTCACACATGCCTATCTATGATACAAAACCGCTCCTGAAATCCTCAGGAGGGTCGGATGCATCTCTCAGGCCCTCTTCATCAACTGTTCATCAACTTTTTTTAGGCCTGCCTTCTTATTTTGGCCTTATCAAGTGGTGGAAAAACTTTTAAATACCCTCAGAAAGTCAGGCGAAATATTGTTCAGAAATGAGGGGTGGCTCAAGACCTTTGCAGAGTACTGTTGCTACCTGTGCTTGGCTATTAATAAAGCTTGTCGCTTACAGTGTGAACACTGGAAATTTGAACAGAATGATAATTATGTACAAGATGAATAAAATCCTCCCACCATCACACCGAATTCAACATCATTGCTCACTTATTACACAAAACATAACTATCGATTATTAACATTTTGAAACATCTTATATTGCTCATTGATGTGTCCTAGCTTGATCTGCATTCTAACTGCGAGCACACAACAAAGAAATAAAGCAACGTTGTGATAATCTTACCGGCTGGTCACCCCGATTTATCCCCACCAGAAAGAGGGACTCGGCAATGAACAGACTGATGCACAGGTTTTTATGGATGGTGTTGCGATCGCTCTGGAGGCCACGGAAGAAGCAGAAGGTGAAAAGGCTGATGAGCAGGCAGACCAGCGACAGGAGGATGCCAACCCAAGTAATGACGTCTAGAAGCATTTCGTGAACAGGGTCGGTGTTCTGCAACAAAAGTGATGAGAGAAACCGATAAAACCAAGGCCAGTCCACTGTTGGTCATGTCATCAAAGAAAAAAAACAACACAAAACAAAGAAATTTTGAGTTATTTTTCATCTTCTCAAGAAGCATTTTGATGTTTGCCAAGACCGCTTCTTTTATATCGATATAGATTTTACTGGTAAAGGCAAGACAAAAAAAATCTGTGGTGAAAACAACAACAATAACCGTGAATACCAGCGACAATCCTGAAGCTTTTATTTTCATTATTGTTTCGTGGGGTAAAGTGCATTCACTCCACCAGCCAATAAACCACTACCCACAAGCCACAGGTGGCAGAAATGAATCATGAATTAGTCAGTGTGAATCAATTTAAAATGCCCCCCCGTTGTTTCATTTTGGTCGGGCAACAAAGTGAAACAAAGTGAGCCGCGCAAAGGGCCACAGGTGTCGTAGACCAGCACAACAGGAATTCAATCAAACCACTACATGGTCAATGACTTTCACTGTTGCTTTTAGATAATTTGCCCTTTTCACAAAGTAATTTGCCACCACAGCCAGTTTTGGGCACTAAAAAGCCGTTTGCTGACAGTAAATTCAGGCTTTAGCGGTAGAGATAAGAATCAACAGTTATTCTCCTGTAGTCACGAAAGGGAATTTACATCAGCCCATAAAAGGCAAGTGCACATAAGGGATGATTGGACAGGAGTAGGAAAAGGCAAAGTCGACTAAAACAGCAGAATCTGCAGGATGGTTGAGTTATTTGATCTCAGTTAGAACGAACCAAAAACCCAAACAAACCGGTGATGCCTCAAACACTTCTCAATAACGTCCCAACCGTTACACTTATTTAATTTATTTCCACATAGAGTCGGCTGTAACACCTGACACACTGAAACATTTAGCTGAAAGTTAGCTAAACGTAATGGACAAATGGCTAAAACAGCTAACGGTAGAGGAACATTATCTTCTTTCATTCCAAACTCTGTTCACTGGCATTTCATTTCAATTATAACCATCTACTAAGAGTGAAAGCTAAATAATGTACCATTCAAAATCCCATTAAACAGACTCAATTGAAACATAATGGTCAGTGCTAATAAAAGCATGCTAACAAGGCCGATGGGCCTTGGAGCAATGTTGTGAGCCGTGGCTCCGAAGATACAGCATCTAACAAAGCCCGCATGAGTGATTTCCAGTGCAATCCCATCTGGAATCAGGAGAAGGAAAATGCCATTATTCTGATAACTCCGCTACCAGCGAGGAGAAGCAGACTTTCCAAAAACAGACACCATCTATATGTAAAGCGTGTGGTTCAGAGAGCAACATCTTGATTTAATAACTAAACATAATTACTGCATCAAAACATAACGATCAGCTACTGTGGCTTCTATATTTCCCGAAGGGATTGTCCTCTTTCTCGGGACTGCCGGGCATTGATTCAAAAATAAATAGAGGAGGGGGGAGGGGATAAAGTGCAAGTTTGAAAGGTGGGCTGTTAATTTAAAAGAAATCTGCCAACCTCACAGCTGGCTGTCGCTCCTGACGGGGGTCAAAAAAATGTCTGGGTGGAACTTTTGAGTCTTGACTTAAAGATTACGTCTGAATGCTAATGAAGATCAAACAGGCATTATTTTAAATGTCACTTACATTTAAGTGCAGACGGTAAATTTGCATTGATGGGCTGTTAACAAGACCACAGCTAAAAACTAAGCCAACTGTGCAAGCACTGACATTGTATATAACCACCTAGCTGTCTGTTATCAAAGGCTGTGCATGCATACATTGGCCTGCAGCAACTAAACATACGACTTTGAGCTACAGCGCAGCAAGTAAATATTTGCATACACTGAGCAATCACCCTACAAGAGGCATATGCCTAATACGTCACTCAGATGAGTCTCAAAATCAAACTTTTCGAGCACGGTCAGCAGAAGAGTTCGAGCCAGGATGGGGGTGACAGACCAACTTCTGAGTCAGGTAAGGCTGAGGAAGCTTAGGTGATGCAGAATCACAAAGAAGCCTTGTTTAGTAGCAGCTCAGCTAATACTAGCAGAGAGGGGAACAGATGCTGATCATTAACAGGCTCTGGTACAATAACAGCCGCAGTGCTCCTTGAGTCTGGGGAGAGCGCTCTTTTGATTTTCCTGCCTGATGAGCCGTTGTGTATATGTTGGAGGGGTGGATTGGGGGAGGAGTGGGGCTGGCAAGATGTTGTATACAGGAGATGTGTATGTGTGAAACTAAGGCTGATTTCCTTATACTTTAGAAGGACGCTTATGCAGAAGGTGTCAACAGATGCCGATGTTTGCGCTTGCATGCTCTGCGGTGTGCGGTGCGTTAGTCTTGTTTTCAGCCCGACGTGCGACAGAGCCGTCGATGCAGTGGGTGGTACCGGCCATGGTGCATTGCGAGAGGACCCCGAGGTCTCCCGGGCTAGCTGGCTGTGCAGCGACTGCAGCCTCTATCCATCACAATCTCACCTTCAATTGAAGAGGGGCCCGGTCAGAGAGAAAGAAACAGCAAAGGAAGAAGAAGAGAGAAAAAGAGACAAAGCTATAGAAACCGAGAGTAGGAGCAGGGAATGTATCTACACCTGGGTGATGGATTTACTGCGGGATGATTTCTTTGTTCTGGGAGGTGGATGATGACTGAGACGTCGCCAAACACAAAGTCTCTGCTGAAAAGTTCCTTTTACTGCAGGTGGAGGGGGGGTCTGCCCAGGCAGGGTGGCAAATGATGTGATCTACAGTGCCTCTGCGCCTAGCCTTACAACAACAAGCCAGCTTGATGGGACTCCATGTAAGGGTCTCTAAAGTGGGCAGACGTAATTTACTCTGAAATTTACTCACTGCGGCGCAAGGGCGGCCCAGTCGGATGGCGTCCGTGTTACTTAGCAGGGCGACGCACATTTGTGCACATTCGATTTGTCCTCCAATGTTTTTCTGCCCCACATTTTTCTTTTATGTCTTAAACACACACGCTTTTTTCATTCCAGACAGACGCCCGGGTGCGCACAACACAAAATAAGGTTTGTGGGAGCTCTAGCAGTGTTACACGAAAGGGCACACACAACAATGCATCGGTAATAATGGCCGAGCCGTCTTAACTTGACGTCACATCACATGCGCTTAATTATGATGACATAATTAAGCGCCGAGTCCCTCACATTTTTTACCCTCTGTGTTTTTATACACCGCTTTGTATTTAATCATTAGTTATTCTTCTCTGACTCTTTTCCACAGTGTGTCATGAGTCCTGTCTCCCTCCCCTCACCCCTAAACTAGTCGTGGCAGATAGCTGCCCCTCCCTGAGCTGGTTTTTCTGGAGGTTTCTACCTGTTAAAATTGAGTTCTTCCTTCCCACTGTTGCCAAGTGCTTGCTCAAAGGGTTTGCTTCATTTTTAGTTTTCTCTCTGTGTTATTGCAGGCGCTTTACCTCACAATATAAAGTGCCCGGAAGGGACTGTGGTTGTGATTTTACGCTATATAAATAAAACTGAATTGAATCCTGTGTCAGAAGCCGGAAACCAGCCTCTGAAATGATGTGGAGGAGGTAAGGAGCAGTGACAAGAGCAGAGTGTCAATCCTTCATACCTCAAATAACCGCTCTTACTGTGGGGCCACGAAGCCAATCCAATTAAAATGCATAAATCTCCCCATATGCCTCCAGAGCTGGGCTCTGACTCATGAAACGCAGTCAGGCAGGGCAGACAGTTGCGCTATGGGGTAGTGGCCCCACTGCGGGGAGTCATGTGACAAGTTCACCTATGGTACGACCAAGGATTTATGATCTGCACGGGGATGAGAAACAGTTTCGGAGAGGGCACATGAATCAGGGCTCTCGGCAAATTCGTCACATTTAAAAGGGCCAGGAGAGAGAGAGAGAGAGAGGGGGAGAGAGATTCCGGCTCGCGTAGCGGGAGTTGACATTCAGCACATGCACCGAATGTCACACTGTGTTCTAGGCTACAATAACTATGATATAACGTCCAAGCGTGACTTTGAGTTGCTATGGAAGTTAACATGGTTTCTCTTCTCTCCATCTGCGCCTTAAACATATAAATAGATTTATTTTGAACCACTGCTCTCTTGTACAGTGCTGTACCATACTTCCTTTGTTGCTCCATAAAATACACGGCGAACCTTGGCTGCATCATCATAGTTGCTGTCTGATGGTGTAAGCATGGAGATGTTCTATAATGACAGTGATGAATGTTGCCTAAATATCACCCTCTCCATCATCCAGTGGGATGTGTCACTGATTTATACTTACTGGTCTGTTGGGAATAGTGACACTTACTACTATCTCAATGGCTCACACGGGCTTATCTTAGCACATACATTTACTACGCAAATAATGGCCTACAGGTGTATATTCTTTGAGCTGGGGTGTTTAAGCCTATATTAAAAAACTTCTGACTTTGCATTTACCACTAGCAAGCAGATGGTTACATATTAGCATAGAGAGTATGGGGGATGAGCGTTAAATTTACCCTTAAGCAGAAGTTAATGTGATTGTTCCTGATTGACGGAGACAAATGCAGTCATATGGCAGGAAAAACACTGAACACGGACCAAACTTCAGTCGAGAGAACACCTGAGACCAGGGGTGTCAAACTCCAGGTCTCGGGGGCCGGTGTCCTGCAGGTTTTAGATCTCACCCTGGGTCAACACACCTGAATCAAATGATTAGTTCATTACCAGGCCTCCGGAGAACTTCAAGACATGTTGAGGGGGCAGTTTAGCTATTTAAATCAGCTGTGTTGGATCGAGGACGTATCTAAAACCTGCCTGGAGTTCGACACCGCCGGTCTCGGGTGTTCTGTAGACTGAAGTTTGGTCGACGTTTAGGGTTTTTCCTGCCATATGACTGCATTTGTCTCTGGCCATCAGGAACTTCTGAGACGATCCATCCAGACAGTCTCAGATAGTCTCCATCCAGAACGCCTGAGACGATCCATCCAGAGCACAAGGTTAGTCATTAATCTGCTGCTGCATGGTTT